AGGTCCTCATGCGACAAACAGTACCATAATACAGTGTTTCCAAATAGGAACCACCTGTGCGACTTGGCCAAACTAGACCCTTCTGGACGAGGAGGGCTATTGAGCCAAAAGTTCTATTGTATGGAAAATATTTTACTGATTTTCATTTCATATCATTCCTTGTCGTACCCTAGCCTTTTATGAGATATATTTGTCATACAACTGGCAAAAATTATGGGACATAAGTGCTCAGCTGATCTCCGCGAATTCTCGTCAGTAGAAGCAAGAGGCGGGAACTTATCATTGTCTTAAAACAATCTGCCGTTTTAAGCTTATTTCGAGCTGGATAGAACAGACTTACTCTAAGGTCACTGAAAGCTCCTCGAAAGCCCACGACTTGTTTTGACCTTCCGCAAATGCGTCACTTTGTCATGCAAATGAAACCATCTGAACTCCCCAAGATGAAAGAAGAACTTGAGAACAATCAAACAGCTATTTTGGATGAAGATAGCTCGATGAGTGGGTCACCTGAGAAGTCCGATGGAGCGTGGTTGTTTGGGAACAGGTAACAGCCTACTCTCTCATTTTCGAATGGTATCTTATCAGACTTTGTATCCGGATTGCCGATTTAATTTTTGCTTGGAGAAGACTAAGCTTGCTCTGACGACGTTCAGATTTACCACCGCACACGAACAGCAGTTGTTTTGCGCATGTATATGCATACTCAGTTCCTGCCTTCAGTTTGAAGACCAAATAAACTGCCGAATTTTGGCCTGACAGAATCAATCGGTTCACTGAAGTATCCTTTCACTATTACTCCACGAAAAACGTTTATTGTGTTTGAATAACGGATTGAATTTCGTGTAATATTTTCGTGCGTGGTGGAAGCTACTTGCTTATTCATTTGGCAGTACCCATTATGTAAAAGAAAAGTTGAAAGACCATAAATGAACTGGTTTCTGCTGTTATGGATTATGGTTGCCCTGAGTCGGGAACACGAATTTCACTTCAGTTCCTTGCGTAACTTTAGGTAAAACACGTAACAAATAATCAGGGATTAGGTGGGAATCCAAACATAAGTGTACCGCACCTATCTTCAGTTTGACTGACAACAAGGGGAGGCATGAAAGGTGGTCGCTGAACCTTACATCGCCCTAGTCTCAACCGGTACCTAGTTTTAATCTTTGAGGTCAGTTCGACTGTGTAGGATGAATATGCGGGAAGATTTTCCATTCGTATGACCGTGGGTAGCCTCAAAATCTGTATTCTGGCAGCGCCCATTCGCCTTATCAACTGAAAACAAGTTCTTGTGCTGCAGCTTATCTCGGTATGTTCCGTTGCTAAGATTCTCTCGTTACTCGGAGAAAGGAACCGAAAGTTTGCTTAATTTCAGCCAGAAAGATTGTTACCTATTGACAAGTTCGAACAATAATTAAGTTGGAGGATCTGAAGGATCCCGAAATACCGAAAAATATATGATATCTGTAACGCTTTCTACCAAACTTTTATTGCTACAGTACTCTGCAGCGTAATTGATTGTCAGTCCTAAAACTGCACTTGAGATGATCGCTTGACCTCATGTCATTGTTAAGATCTGCAGGTTTAGCAGGTTTCCCTACTTCCAGTACCATGGCGACAGCTAGTTGGCCACCTTCGAGCCGTGACCACGAGCTCTGCGCATCAGAGGTAGTCGGTCGCCGGATTGACGAGACTGGGTGAATTGCATCAGCAGTATCTGTCTGTCTGCATTCGCCGCAAGGTCAGCATGCTCTGTCTCAACTCATGGTCGCCTGTGGCGGGCCAATAGCCTTGTCTTGGGGCACGTGACTCGGTTGCTCAGGCCCATTCATGCACCAGAGCGGCGAAATGATAGAGCTCCTGATTCGCCGCGCCCGTAACATCCACGTCTCTCAAGCGAGGACAGGTGTGGTGCCTTGCCATGTGTGGCGCATAGGTGGCGTGTAGGCGAAAAAATCGATTGGATGGCCGGAAAACGGGGCGAAATGCCAGGGTATTGCTAATGCGCGCAAAGGGTGGCGTTCAAGGTGTGCTTATTACGGGCATGCGGACGATTAGTTCAATCGTATCAAACAGGGCAGTTATTACCTACCTACCAGTTAAGGTGGAAGCATCGGAAGTTCCCTTGCACTAAACATCTGTACGACAAGCGGAAATTGTGATAGCAAAAGACTTGGAGAGGCATCCTGAGGTAGCATAATCCACTCTGCGTTTAACTATGCTCAAACTGAGTCGCGTATGATCTACGGATGTACTTCCAGGAACCGCCGCGAGGAAAAATTCTGCGGCTCCACTTTCATTCGACGGTACTGTAAGTGTTGCACTGACAATAGTTAACGGCTTTATCTTAGATGAAAAGTGTCCTGTGATATCTTTTCGACTTTGGTAGACTATTTTTACTGCACCCTCAGGGTCCGCCACAACATGACTGTATGCACACCTGGGCCATCCAGCTAGGTTGTAATTCACACAACTGGGATTTACTCGAGCGGTTGGATCCTCAGCACTTTAAAGATATTCGTAGCGTCGAATAAAAGCTTGACTAATTTCTCATCCACAAATTAACTTGGCGTTAACGGAGAGCTCAACTAAATCCTAGCTTATTCTCTTGTTTCTAATAGTTTTCAAGTGGATGAGACGCATAAGGTAGTTTTACGTCGAGGAAAAGTAGTTGCGCATCTCGAATACGGTGACAACCGCAACATGAAGCAGCTGTTGTGCAGTATATTCAGCTGGTAAATATCATTAGAGATTCAGCTGGAATTTAGTTGAGTCTCAAGTAAAAAGACGAAATTGTGTGCAGTATGGGTTCAAGCAGTACAGTAAATTCTCGGGAACCCGGGAATGCACCTACCTGATAAACCCGAAGAGGGGTTCATCACTGAAGATGCCTCCTCGTACGGTGACAATACGTTTCCATGCAAGCTGATTGTCACAATCGGCAAACAAATCAAATACTACCTGATTAAAAATAAATGAATGCGATTTCAATCGAATCTCAGCGGAAACTCCCACCTTATGACACCCAATAAAGACGAAGCAGGTAGTGGACCATCGGCTTTCCGTGACCTTATGAGTGGTGTCACGTCAAGAAGTTGAGGGTAGCTACCGCCACCTCTTATGAGCTGCACTCCACACAGGCCGTGGGGCCAACCCGTTTAACAACGGCCCATCTGTCCAACTAATTATGCAGTCTCAGTGAGCTTGGCTTCTGGACATTCTTGTGCATCTTGGCTAAGCAGCAGTCAGTTGCCATGCCAATTAGTTTTATCCTTCCGCGACTTCTGAAAAAAAGAGGCCCCTGTTGGAGGATACTATGGCCAGAATTTGCAATCGTTTCCGGTCAATTTTGGCGGACTTGATATTTCGGCCCTGTCTCACGGTAGGGCACGAAGGATCGAGGGAGAACGGTTTTTGGGGGATGGAATGAGGCGGTCCCTCTTTTAAGGAGCGGACAATCTGAGCTATCCTCGCACTTAGATGAGATTCCAGGCCTAGGTGAGACTACACCCAACAGTTCGCTTTGTAATATGCACGCTATGGAAGCACCAGGGGACAGTGATTCTCCGAAGGCAGGTTTTCACAACAATTTCTGTGGATGGAAAACAGAAACAAAGCTCATGAGCCAAAGCCCAGTAAGCAAGGTTGTACATCACCAATACTTACTATGAATCAAGCAAACTGACAGACAACGTATACTACAGCTTTACGGTTTAAGCGGTAGGCTGCGCCAGTCGGTTTTTCTTTCGCTATACTTGTCCTCTTTGACTACACCACACAACGTATTTACGGATTTTGAAGTCAGGAGTTATGATTACATATGCGTCTCTCATCATAGATGGAAGCTGGCGAAGAGCGAGCGCAATCGTTTATGCCTGTGCAGACAGTGTGACTTGATTGCGTAGTTTGACTAGCGTTGACTAACCCACCAGTAACAACACAATCAAACATAAATAATCTGCGCAGTATTGTGAACCAGAAGGTAGATGGGACTGCTGGCCTTTTTACCAACCTATTCGCTATCATCTCGCTCCATCACGCCGGTGGTGTGTACTGACAATGCATAGGAATATTTCGTAAAAAAATGTTTACTCGCTTAGTCCTGTGTCCTCTAGACTCCAATATCGGAACCATTATAGTCAGACAGCAATTGCAATGCTCTCCTTAACCATTGTGCACTCTAATGGAAACGAATAGTAATGACTTAAAACTAGCTTCAAGATAATAAAAATTCAACCCAGTTTCAGGCGTCCTAATCTAATTTGTGCGGAAATTGTGCCCGACACTGGGGTTTCCTGGAGAATGAAATTACTAGTATTTCCCCTCTCGGGACAACTTTTATAAGAATAAGGATGGTAGACGATTTCAGGTGGTAGCGTGAAGTAACCCGATACTTGTGATGAAGATTGAGATATGCGTGACTTTGTCATGGCTGTATCGATCCTCGTGCGTCTCATGCGATAAAGAAAAGTTTACTTCGTAAGAAACCACATCCGTTACGTGTCTACAACAAGAGAGCTTCGAAAATCACCATCTATCTTGCAGTCAGCTCCCATAGGCCTAGTAACAATCACCACCAATCCATACCGGATTCCAGTAGCACTGTGATAGCAGAACACGACCGTGAATGTTTCATTTGGGCTTATTCCCGCGACGCATTGGTATAATCGATCTAATTCAGTAGATTCGTTCGATGGCCGCATGGTGTGTGAAATTTCGACATTGGATTTTATTTGCAAACATTCGTGAAATGTGCTTTATACCAATAGTTATAGTTAAACAGAGGTGACTTCATTCATGTCTGCTAAGTAAGGTTGTCCTGTGTGCCTCTTTTCTTATTAACTTTTTATTTCGTGGCTTTGATGATGTATTATGTTTACTGTATTCATTCGTAGCCTACAAAATCATTCTCAGATAACGGTAAACTTACACATGTCCAAGCAAATATAAAATATTTGCTGATATCAATGCATATTTCTGCCTCTGAATCTCTGTTCCAACAGACCTATGTCAGGGCGTTCATTGAGCGATACATTAGTTCGGTGGAGAATATCGGTAATACTTTGGAAGAATGGGAACGCAACCTTCAGAGAAATATTAACAGTTTGGATGATATCGCTTTCATCATGGACACATTGCGGGTGATTCGCGAACGTGAGATTGATACTGATTGTGAACTAATTCAGTGTGAGGTAAGGCGACCTTTTAAAGGGATTCTTTATGAGTTGCCCACAATGTTCACTTGTCTGGTGCTATCTTTAGGTAGCTGGGATTTGTAATAAATCACTCGTTTTGCTTTGGTAAACATTCCACGGGGAACCACTCTAAACTTACAGAGCCCACTAGACGTGCCATGGACGAATAAACCAGTGAAATGAGTTCAGGTTCAGCCGCCTGTCCAATCTTGGCAACCATGGCCGTAACATCTACGATCTGCGTGTCAATATGTTGCTGGTAGCTTCGAGACCAATGTCTAAAAGTGCTGTCATCATGCACTGATCCAAGGGGATCAGCGTAATCCAATGATGAGCAGTCAGCGAGCCTGGATCGTTCACCTGTTCCTTTGGAACACGCGGAGCAGCTTGGCAAACTGCGAATTCGTTCACTCCGAGGAGGGATTCGCCCTTGGAGAGTGTTCCTCAAAGTAACTACTCTAGGCGTCGTTTTCAAGTAGTACGCCTTTAGTCCGGACTAGTTCTTCAGACTAGCCAAATTTGAAAGTCAGACGGTGGATACGACCGAATTGGTATCATACCCTTCCTCAGGCCAATTGTTGTCTTCCTTATATTTCATGACCTGGTTTGTATAATGTGAACTAGGTAGAATAAGAGATACTGGTTAACTGCTTGCCCGATATCGATAACGAATTATGTGTGTAAAACAAAGCAAGAATAATTCATTTTCTGAATTCCAATACTCTCTTCCAAACGCAGAGATCGTTCATTCGAAAGTAGCACGGATTACAATTATTACTGAAAATGTAGCCTTTGAGTTTGATGGCTAAAAAACAATTTGAAAACAGCGAATTTCTGGACTCACACTAAGTTATCTGGGTATTTTATAAAGCGAGCGTATATAATAGTTCTCATGAGAGTCATTTAAAGCTGAGAATAAATTTCCTGCTAGCCTCATGACCGAATTCAAGTTTGGTTGAGCCCGTTGAATCAAGTGAGCCAAAGTGAGTGACTTCACTTCACTGCCTGCGCCAAACGGTTGGCTTGTTTGGATGGTGAGTGGAAAAAAGACAGCTTGTTTATCTGCAGTTCATTTGAATATTCCAGAGTTGTGAATCCAACCGACATACCCAAAACCAAGCAAGGCCAGTGGACTGTCGTTAAATCCTCATCAGCGTCACCTGACTAAGTACAGGAAATTAGGTATTCACTTGTCGTTTTTAGAGCATTTCCGGGCATGTGTTACGTTTCATTGTCACCCGTTCAATTACATTTACAATGTCCTTAATACTATTCCTAAAACGGTCGTGATTCGGTCTTCAAAAATGAGCCGATCCATCAGTTGCATCCTTGTTCTAGATTAGAGTGAAAGAGGTCGCTGTCGATCAGAAAGCATCAGAAATCTGGAGATTCATAAACCCATTAATTAGTGCTGATTCATCCTGGACTTGGTGTGAATATTTGTCTTCTAACAAATTTCCGTGATCCTGTGCGTTATCCCATTAATTTTAATTCTGACAGGAAGCGAACGCGTTATTGAGCAAGTTCAATCTACCCTACCCAAAGGACATTGGTGATCGAGTGGAATTAGTACGATGCGCATTCTTGCGCATTAAAGAGCGTGTGTTCCATACCACGGATTATATACTGTCAATACAAGGTGGATACAAGGATGGTCTATTGGCTAGCATTCAAGAATTGAAGGAATCAACGCAGGTGTTTGAAGCAGATTATGATGAGGCAAGTGATTTCCCCAAGTTCTCTGTAATTTCGCCCCCCACCCGATTCCAGCATTTTTACGAACTTTCTGCGGCTGTGCCGTCATATGGCGGAAGCTTCAACATTGGTTTACACGGAGGTTGATAACAGCCTCAGTATTTACCCTGTATCACCGCACTTGAGACTGAAACCTCATTGTGAAGAGGATCTTTATCATAAGAATCCCGCAACGCAATGCGTCTTAATCGGTGCGCATTATTCGCACAATGCTGTCAGCTGCAAAACCTTTACAAGTGGAGTAAAACTTTCTACGCCAAAATATTGCATTTTGTTGCGTATGTGCTCAAACCGAAAACAGTTCTAATCTACATTCATATTTTTGCAGCTCGCCAAATTTCATCGTTCACTGAATCAACCGTGCCTCTGGTTAGGAAGTCTTGTGGGATAATTTCCCACCATCGCGGAGACCCCAGGATGCCTGAACGGGGCTTATAAGTTTGAATTGGTATTCTCAATTCAATTGCCCGATTGCTTTAGTTCATCAGGGACACGTCATAACTTTCGAAAATTCCACTCCATTGTGCGAATACTGAACGCCGTCTTAATCTATTTCGCACCGTAAATTTGACTTGCCGCGAAACTGTCATAACTTTCAAAATTCCCCTCCATTGTGCGAATACTGAACGCCGTCTTAATCTATTTCGCACCGTAAATTTGACTTGCCGCGAAACTGTTGCTGATCCGAAACAAAACAGTTCAAGTGACACAAAAGTGATGTTAGCAAAACTGGTTTATTCTGACGGTTTGATTAGTATTCTTCCTTGTCCGAAAGAAGGAATGATGGGACCAATTTGGAAAGTGGGAGATATTTTGTCTCGTGACTAGTTACAATATAAACCGAGTACAGAGTAATTCATTTTCATAGCCGTGCACCTGCGTACAGTGTTCGCAGTGACAGTGGATAAGGCGATGGTCGAGAATGAAGGAAACATGAAATGGTGATTATGTACTACTGGAGAGATACAAGTGCACCACTGGATTGGTGTTGATATCGTACCGATGAATGCCTTCAGATATTAGTGAACTGGGTCTCTGATTCTTCGTGTTCGCGGACTATGTATTTGAGCGCGATTTAGACCATTTGCTATACTTATGCTGCTATCCCCAGGTCGTCTATTGCTCACTCGGTACCTGCTTCAGCGACGTGGCAGAGAAAACAGCCGTAGTATACCATCAGCTTGTTGCTGAAATCCACCCAATGGTATTTTGTTGTTGTCCGCAAGTACCGGTGGTCAAAGGAAGACAACTTTTCTTCGCATTCAGGAAACCATGGCCAGGCTTCACAATTGTATAGTAGCAATGTGACTTTATTGACTGTGTCCTCCAAAACTGAAATTCCCGTTTTTTCTCATCAAAACCCAAGCTATGAGGAAGCCAGAAGATGGGTTAATAGCGTTACTCGAAATGTTATGTAAATGACACGGTGGCTAGGATAAGCTTAACGTTTGTGTATGGCTTACAGCTGATGATCCTGATTATTTTGGTGACACGCACAAGTCTTTCTACTGATTCGGAAACCTCGCAAGTCATGAAAGTCAACTCAGAATTCTCTGGATCGATTGTAATCCGCTAGCCTCCAGTCAAGTATTAAACGAAACTTTTCCATATTGCGACCCATAAACACTGAGATAATCACCATGAAGACACATAATTGCGTGGATCGTTGATAGAGTAAGTAAGGTTTATGTGCAATTTGGTGTTTGAGTAGGAATTAAGGTTGCTATAAACTCGGAAGCTAAGCTAACCTCATTAACCTCAAGGATGGCGACCCCGGTTGTGGGCTGTCAGAATTTTCAGTAGCATTTTGTGAGTGATTTTCGGGTCAAGCTAAATAGAGAAGTTAAATAAAATCACAGCTGATCAGTCGCTCGTGGCCAAAAGGTTAAGGGTTCGGCCACAAGCCGGAAGGCCTCGGGTTCGAAACTCTCTGAGTTTCGTAAGATGCATGCTGATGATAGTTCTCGACAAGGATGAAACAGTTATAAAGTGGTTCTCAGCTTTTCAACATAGACTGGCTTCATTGACAAGACTAAATCTCTGTTGAAAATAAATAATGCTTTTAGCAAGCTTTATCACCGCTGCCAAACTTAATTGATACCAAAGTACAAACAACGATAAAATAAGAAATGGAGAACTGAGTGACGACTGTCAAAAGAAGGGACAGACCCACGGTGTGTTAAGATCAAATTTCACTGATGACAAGTTGAACGAACAACCTGTGGACCTACACGCTTCACCTGACTTCCGGTGTGATGTTTTTCACCCAGGCAGTTGTTCGTCTGCCAAATTTCCCTCCCTGATAATTTGGTTGTCAATTATTGTGTCAGCGTGCCTATTCGGCGTACGGTAGTGAAGTGTCAACGAAGACGGAATTTTGGGAGCTTTTTTGTGTTTTGATCCGTGAGGCTCAGGGCTCATATAATGCTTCAGGGAACTGGAGCGAGTGTAGTGGGACTATCCGTTATACCCCTCTAGAAAGTTTAAAAAGTCTAGAAAGTCATTCATTTTCCACAGAATTTCTCTGACGTGCCCTAAACAGGGTGATACGCGCAACACACACGTCGCAACACACACGTCCTGTCTGTGTATATACCATGGACAAGAGTGGACAACATAGAAAGATGAATCGGCGAGGATAAGCGCTGACGTGTACAGACTGATCGAAATGTAAAACACTTCATTGGTGAATTTCTTCAATTGTGAGAGGTTCACTGTTCCTGAGCCCCTAAAATTCCGACCTCTGGGCCGTTCCCCTTGGTCGTAAACAACCGATCGACAGTACAAACTGTCAGAGTATTTTAATGCATTTTGAGGTAACAAAAACCTTTGGATAACAATGGAATAAAAAGATGTGCGTGCCTTTCAGTATCCTTTAAAACGGAATGTTTGTGATAACCGCTTAAAATTTCGAAACTGCTTTCTACGCTCAATCCGAAACTCGCTACGATTAAGCCCGTTCATAGGCAGTGGGGTTTTTAAGTTGTGTCGGAAAACGATTCATAGTTCGCCAGAACATCGGTGAACATAATGCATTCATGAAGTTATCATTACTTTGGTAGTCACACCACTCTGTGTCGTGTGGTGCACGCTACAAAAACGAAGTAAGAACCTCTGTGTGTGCCAGACTTTGTTCATGAGGTCTTTTGAGATTCGGTTTTGAGCGATGGTTTGATGGGAAACCAGATGCAATCTGGTATCTTTAGATGGTCATAATCAACACTGGGGTGAAGTAAAATGCCATCTTGATAAGATACCGACTGCTAAAGTTTGTGATGGTTCTAGCTAAGACGTTTCTCCACTGAGGGTGTGTATTCTGCACGTGCAACAAGCCTCAGGTTAACGCACAATCAAAATGACTATGATCACCTACTAGTGTAACAGGAGTTTCACTGTAAACATACAAACAACTAGTCACAGCAAACGATGACATAGCGCAGTTACACCACAAAAGTGCTGCAAATTGGGTCACAGGCGTAAATGACGAAAGTGCACGCGGATAACTCGTCCTCACATGAGATGCTCAGAATGTTCGGGTGTCTGGCTACTGAGACCAAATGCGCCGAATGCCATTCCAGCTTTGACTTGTAGGATTTAGTGGATATAACTCTATGATTCAAGTGGACTTTGTGAACTAAATAGGCTTCCATCCTTACTGAACCTCAGACTAACTGACATATCAGGTAAAATGGGAGAAGTGTGGAATTTTGGTGTTACCACAGCGTCAGGGTTCCGAATCCTTTTTGAAACGCATAAGCTATCTGTAAATTCCGTGACTCGGCTGATAGTCCAGAAGCAAACATATGTTGCTTCCTTAGCAAATCTGATACAACGAAGATCTCTCAGTGTTATAGAGTGTCATTTTAAGCTTGAATTCTCCTCGAGATCACATATCACTGTATGCTGGACGAAACTATTTTATTTTTTGACTGGGCGCGAGTGAAAATGAATTTTCCACAACGTAGTTTAGAAGACAACCTTGTTTTAGTTCGACTTTTAGCTGGTCTGCAGTTCATATTCTTCTCACTCCAGCTAAGGAAAAAGCCTCCCTGAAACCCTTACTGATCGCAAACGGCTACCAAGACAGGTTCATCACCTTTTATACCCTCAGATACGGTTAGCACTTTTTCGAATAAAGAAGTTCTACTGTGTCTATCGTTTAACAACGTATGACACAAACTCAAATCTGCCCTAAATCGCACGTTTTCAGCAACTCGGTTGCAGTTGATCTCTGCAACCAGACGACTTGTGTTTCAGACTAAATCCAAGGGCGTGCCGGTTCACTACACTCCAAATGTCACATATCAGTTCAGTTGCAGTTGCAATCAAACATACATAGACAGAATGACCAATACCTTTCTCATTGGATTTGTGGGCACGGATCATGCAACTGGCAGATAGCAGCCTGATAGCAGCCACCCGGAGAATCACTTCTGCGACATGCCGGTGGAATAATTCATATAGTTGACCACTCCCTCCCAATACGTTCGGAGTTATCAGAGTTATCAGAGTTATGCAACGGAAAAACAAAGCCATTCATTTTTTCGAAGCAGTGTCAATTAGAGTACTATGCACACAGAAGTACTGATCAGGTTATCTGCTTATCCTGGAGTTCACCCCATCCCAATTTTCTCCAAAGGGCTTCACGTGACGTTCACTGTTCCCTCTTTGTTACTATGCCACCCATCTAAAAATACTGGTTTTGCGTTCACAACTGGTGAGAGTAGTTTTAGATTTACAGTCTCGCAACTCGTGTCTTTTTACCGTTCTGGTGAGAAGTACACATTTCACAAATTCCGGATAATATAGATCGAAAATCTTGACCGTACCGTTTTGGAACGCATACAAATTTTTTGTGAAAATTGCTTTAGTGTTCTGTTTTGGACATTAGTGCCCTAAATGAGATCGGTATTCTCAAAAGTGTAACAGTTTTTGGCAATGGCAGTGTGGTGGACGGATTTATCCCACTTTCGACTGTCAGCTGCAACTGTATCTACTTATTTAGAAGTGTTTTCCGGAGCTATAAAGCAATCCACTCAGTTCAGCCCTTCTTCGCCCCCTCAGAGTTAATTTTCCTTACCGTTTAAATATTAATGCAGTGATATTGCCCTCGTGGTTTGGCTCTCTATTAGCATCGGTTAAGTGCATCACCAAAAACTGATTGGATATCTTCAGTTCCTTGTCTTTGGGTACCTGGCTGGGGGCTCATTTACAGTGTTAATCACAAGCGCTAATAGCCAGTGAACCTGTTACGTCACGTGTTACGTCGTTTATCCTTTTCATCATCCAGAAAGGCCCTATGGTTCCCGGACTAGCACCTCAAGAAGCGCTGGACAAACAGATTCAGTTCAAAAACCGATTTGACAACTTGATTCGTAAAATCAACACAGCGCTCAAAGGTGAACTCCTGTTCGGCTTACCTGCCTCAGACTACAGCCGGGTACAACAAATCGGACGGGAACTGGACCTGCTTCAGCGGCTCTACGGTTTGTATAACGAGGTCAATCGTACAGTGGCTAGCTACTATGAGATTGTATGGCAGGAAGTGGACATGGAGAAGATTGGAGCAGATTTGCAAGAATTTCAGAATAAGTATGTTTTACTCCCGTAATTGTCCATTAAGCACAATGCCTTGTGAACAGTTTGTGCATGACATCTCCAGGTTGTTCCGTACCAGCAGTCAGCAAATCACCTTGACCTATATGCACTGTTGTTTTTCGTGGTGATGCACGTGATCTCGCCTTCGTCATTCGTTCACACACACGGCTCCCGTCCGGGTTCGTCTTAGTTGTCTCTGTCTGACGGTTGATAGGTTGAGCATTCAGCAACACACTACTCAGCCAAGCAGTTCAACACCACAGCAGCACACTCGGCGACTTCTACCCTGGCGCCTTCAGTGGGTGAAGAAATTGCATTCCCAGTCTGCAGTGGATTACGATTTTAGTGGCCTTCCTAATCGTCTCCTAACAAGTACACATTAGGTTACTGTGAGGAGCTGTATACTGGTCCGGGCACTCAAAGCCGAAAATTAGTACACCGATAGAGGAGAGCAGGACAATAACAACGCAAAGTTAAGTTGGTAGGTTTCGATACTATTAACCAGTGGAAGGCTAGGTTCATGTTCCTCCAAATAGTCTCCATGTGAAGCAGAAAATGCTGCAAATCTGGAAGTAAAACAACTAATCCAATTGCGTAGTAGACACAGGCTCGTTAGGTTAATCGGTTCACATTTCGTTTGTGAGTCATAGCTTTGAGCCATACCGCTCAAACAATGCAAAATAACTCGAGTGCAGATAGTAGATTTCACACGCTTCAAAAGTTACAGGAAGTCAAGAAAAGCAGATTCATTATAACGGTCAATGAGACTATCCATTGAATGAAAGAAAATCTATAATCACATTGACAATTACGACGTTTTAGCATTAACACCCCGTACATGAATGACTAGCTTCTGAATAAAGCCTGCCACTCAATAATGGTGGAACCACTGAACCCTTGCTCTTTTTCGCAGGTGGTCTGTACGCAGCCGAATTCGATGCAAACTCTTGAAACCGTTCACACACGGGGGAGTAAGACAGGCGGGCTTATCTCATAAATAGCGATCCTCAAACTGAACCATGAGACTGCATTGCAGAAAACTTCATGTTTGTTCCGAAGGTAGCGGGAGATATCAGTGCCATGCCTTGGCAGCAGTGCCCCTATTTGCACACTGTGATCACTGGTGTTGGTGTGACATTTTGTTGCTCATCTTGATGGACGTACTGCGCTTCCACTAGATTCCGCGATGATCAACAGATGCACTGCCAGACAACCATTCAGGCTATCTTCTCACTGGAAGGCTACCGCCATTCATTCATGGCGCAACGCCTCTACGCGAATGGTTGTTAAGTAGATGGAAAGGAATGTAATCCTGGTTCACTCTTATACCGATTTCAAACTCGCTCGAGAGGGTTTTGCAGGACCGCACCCGAGCCCTCATTTTTGCGCATGTTCTTTGATAAGGTTGACAAACTTTTCCGGACAGCCAAGCTTTTGTGGGACGATCCACAGAGCTTCTCGGCTGACTGCCTTGAAGGTTTTGGCAAAGAACATGAACAGTACACAGGACAGTTAATTTCTTTGCAATATGTTCGAATATTCGTAGCTGGGGTGCATTCATTGGTAGTTGATCTGTTCAACAGCGGATGAGGTCATCGACATCACAGACTGAATACACTAGTAGTGGAAACTTGTGATTCACTGCCATGGAGGGTGAAAAGGATGATTAGGAATGGACACAGTGTAAAATGTATCCAGAGAGGACGCCCAGGATCAAGGTGCGTACACCTTCCAAAACAACTGAGATCACGTACAAAACAGGAAAATGTGCTCGGTATTCGCAGCATTCTCGTTTTTACTCGTCACAGATTCTTGTGTCAGGGAGACGTCAGACCGTCGCTGGAAGATAGTTTATGCAATCTGTGTGTGTGGCCGTGCTTCGAAAAACTTTCCGGCTTTGACCGTGAGTAACCTCACTGGCCGGCTCCTATCAAGCTAATCAGTCGTGTGAACAGTGCAGACATGTGCAATTGTAAGCGGTCAAATGTGCATACTGTATCTACACTGAAATTTGCGGAGTACTCCTGCGGGGTCATGAGATCCCAATTTCTAGAGAGCCATCACCACATATAATGTTACCTGCGAACCCTCGTTAGGGCTGGGGACGCACAGGCGACGGTCAGCAGATGTCAAGGTGTTAAGTTACAAGCTCTTTCGTTCCACAGCCTCTCATAACCAGGAAATATCGTGTAAAAAGTAATAATCCTAGTCTGTAACACCTTTTCAGTACCTTGGTACCATGCCACCCGATGGAAGCCGGGGGGCTGAGATACTGCTGGGTTGCCCAAACCTAGACAAGAGTAGTTGAGATGTCGGAGTCGAACGACAGACCTTCCTATCAGTAAGTTCACTCCTTAACCACTGAGCTGTATCGAGCTGGTCTACCGAATTAATAAGCAGGTGCCGAAAGACCTCCTATCAGTAAGTTCACTCCTTAACCACTGAGCTGTATCGAGCTGGTCTACCGAATTAATAAGCAGGTGCCGAATCGCATCGCTTGTTCAAAACATCTTTCCAAGGGACAGCGTACTGCAGTCACTCACGACCTTATACCTCTAAAGTGATTAACTGGTGTCACTCTGGTTTCACAAAAATCAGTAGCACTGATTCATTTCCCTTTCAATCTGGGTTTAGGTTTTTGCATTTTGCTGTACGACCAACTCAAGGACACTAGGTGACAGTTAATTTATAGGACATAGTACCAGGGAAAATCATGATGGAGACGGGGAGGATGAGCGAGTACGAGCTCACTTGGCCCCTGTGTTGATACAGTCGCCATTCGCCATACATGCCGACAATAAGTATTGTTATGCAACTCAGCAGACGAGGACTTGTTTGATTACAGCTACTCCCTGAATACAAACAAAAAACTTAAGAAGTCACAAACATCACACATTTAATTTTTCGTTAACTCGAGGTATATAAAGGTAGGATTTATTGGGATTTCAGCCACAGACCGGATAATTCGTGTTGCAGTTTGGATAATCTGTCAGTATCATGTTGAGTTTGTTGTGCATGGATATTTTCTACTTGGAATATTGTCAGTGTCCCAGGTCATATTTGGATTAGAAGGCAATCAATTCGGTTTCCGAAAATGTGAAAGTCAAGCGACTATTGAAGATGGCGCTCAATGGAGACCCAATCCGCTTTGAATCCTATTGGGTTGGTTTGGAACATTAGACTATGGAACACAAATCGAGCTTTAGGAGCCAATCAGTGGCAGTTTAAAACATGTATCTTGAATCTCTAATCCATCTGCACACAACTCACACTAATCTTTGGACGTTTCCAAGTGGTAAGCCTATATCGGTGCTAGAGGTGACTATCCTTCACCATCGGTGTGTAGACCCAGCTGAAAGATGGGTCCTAGACCCAGCTAACCGGATATGCCTACGACCCGTCTCCTTGGTGGTATGCTCTACCAGATGCCTGTCTGCATGCACTGTGAGGCTCGATTGTTCGTTTGCACCCACTTTAATTGACAGTCGTGAACCACCATTTGGGTAGGCTGGTGGCTTTAGAATTACTCCCGCCATCTTCACCTTCCGGTCTTATATCCGGGGGGGGGGAGGGAACAGGGAGTTCAGGTGGGTGTTCGTGCCCCTCAGCACACACTGGATGTAACGTTACTCATTATGCGCGGATGTTCAGCGTCGTATTGCGATGTGACAGGCTAATTCGGAAGCGGATTATGGGCGGCCATATTTGTGTTATCCAGTAGTATTGCGTAGCAGAAATTCGAATACTCCCCTCCAGATTGTGCATCCAGTGTCACAACCGTACATGTTTGGTCTTGGTAATCAGTTTTTCACTCTGTTAGGCGATCACATTCTTCGAAAAGTTTACTTCATCAAGGTCACTCTTCATTGTTTAGGTTAAGCTTGCTGAGAAAAATAAGTCAGATGGGTGAACTCCGACTTTCTTCTACTCATCTGAGCACACGACCGTAAGTCTTGTCGGAGTTTGTGGTTCAACTCTGACATCTTAGTCCCATTATTTGGCCACATGTCAAGCTGTCAGTGGGTGAATGAGCCTCCAGAATTGATGTGTTACACTATAAGTTCGACATACAAGATGAAGATCTACGTAGACAGTGGGAGGAAATCAGGCCGTCAAAACCTCAGAAAAAAATTCATGCATTGGTGGGTGTCCAGGTCAGAAAATCCTGTGCAGATACTTAAGGATACGTCTACAACGGTTGAACGGAGCACACGTGGTTTACTGGGTGTTCGTGCCACTCAGCACACACTGGATGTAACGTTACTCATTATGCGCGGATGTTCAGCGTCGTATTGCGATGTGACAGGCTAATTCGGAAGCGGATTATGGGCGGCCATATTTGTGTTATCCAGTAGTATTGCGTAGCAGAAATTCGAATACTCCCCTCCAGATTGTGCATCCAGTGTCACAACCGTACATGTTTGGTCTTGGTAATCAGTTTTTCACTCTGTTAGGCGATCACATTCTTCGAAAAGTTTACTTCATCAAGGTCACTCTTCATTGTTTAGGTTAAGCTTGCTGAGAAAAATAAGTCAGATGGGTGAACTCCGACTTTCTTCTACTCATCTGAGCACACGACCGTAAGTCTTGTCGGAGTTTGTGGTTCAACTCTGACATCTTAGTCCCATTATTTGGCCACATGTCAAGCTGTCAGTGGGTGAATGAGCCTCCAGAATTGATGTGTTACACTATAAGTTCGACATACAAGATGAAGATCTACGTAGACAGTGGGAGGAAATCAGGCCGTCAAAACCTCAGAAAAAAATTCATGCATTGGTGGGTGTCCAGGTCAGAAAATCCTGTGCAGATACTTAAGGATACGTCTACAACGGTTGAACGGAGCACACGTGGTTTACCCCTCAGCCACCATTTTATGCTGTGCCATTCACACGCTTTTTTCTGTGCTGAGATTTTTATTCCATCGGAGTTAGCAGGACTGTTTCTTGAACCGTAGTTTCAATTGTGTAGATTAGTCTGCTCTACTATGCATGTCTGATTACCCCTTTCTGAGTGTTGTATCGTGCGGTGGCCGAGTTATTGGTTACGCCTGCACTGAGCCTGCCAGACTACGCGATAGGGAGAAGACAAAGAGCTGGGGACACGGCTGTATTGCCAGGAAAAAACGTACAGAGCGTCTGCGTAAATATATAGGATGACCACTTGTTCGCTCCGTACAGCCAATGGTGGTGTTCCGGTCGTGAACATCCTTAGGCCCACTACGCTGGTCGTGTGTTGCTAGGCCGTGTTTGGTGGGAGCCATGTTTCGTGGGGGCCGTCAACTCACCTACTTTCCGGACGCGTCGTAACCATGGTGACCTTGGGGATGCGTCACCCTCTGCACATGTACTTTTTCTTCTGTCTGGGCGCGCCCTGACACTGAGTCTGTTGTTAATGTTGGCAATAAACAAATCCAGATTCCTTCAAATGTCACCTTCCAAGCAATGGAACTCAACGTTTCATCTCATCCGTTTAACCAACTATGGAAGAGCTTTATCTCTTCAGTGGCACTATGTAGTTCCCCTAAAACTCCTAAATATGGCTTTTATTTCCACACTCCGGAACTTAGCTCGTATCGTACAACAAGGTATCAAAATGTCTACCCATCAAACATCCGTTAATGTTCGTGCACCTCCATTTCCGTCGGATGAAAAATCCCCCAAGTTTTACTTTATCAATTCTCTCGTTGTCCAACTTATCCGAGCCTGAATAATCTGTTGGATTATCTGAGTTCTGTTTTCATCATATTGCCCAGGATAACAGAGAATCACTGCTTTCTCAGTATTATAACATCCCACAGTTTCTCGTAAGATTCCGTGATGAACTCTGTTAGTCGTCCAAGGTTCTCAGACAGAATTTGAAAAACGTCTGTGTCTGATATTTAAGGCATCCTTAGCGGGCGTGCAGTTCTACAGTTTATACGCCACATAATGGACATAACCTCAAGACATGTTAACTTCATCCATGGTGGCAATCAGCAGAACTATCAACTACCAAAGCTACCGTTACCTGATGTCAGCTATCAGCTTTCTAGGCTGTTTATTGATGTGCTGACTATGCTGCCTTCCTGATGCATTTTTACCATCCAGGTGCAAGCGACTTCCACTGTTGTTAATGTTGGCAATAAACAAATCCAGATTCCTTCAAATGTCACCTTCCAAGCAATGGAACTCAACGTTTCATCTCATCCGTTTAACCAACTATGGAAGAGCTTTATCTCTTCAGTGGCACTATGTAGTTCCCCTAAAACTCCTAAATATGGCTTTTATTTCCACACTCCGGAACTTAGCTCGTATCGTACAACAAGGTATCAAAATGTCTACCCATCAAACATCCGTTAATGTTCGTGCACCTCCATTTCCGTCGGATGAAAAATCCCCCAAGTTTTACTTTATCAATTCTCTCGTTGTCCAACTTATCCGAGCCTGAATAATCTGTTGGATTATCTGAGTTCTGTTTTCATCATATTGCCCAGGATAACAGAGAATCACTGCTTTCTCAGTATTATAACATCCCACAGTTTCTCGTAAGATTCCGTGATGAACTCTGTTAGTCGTCCAAGGTTCTCAGACAGAATTTGAAAAACGTCTGTGTCTGATATTTAAGGCATCCTTAGCGGGCGTGCAGTTCTACAGTTTATACGCCACATAATGGACATAACCTCAAGACATGTTAACTTCATCCATGGTGGCAATCAGCAGAACTATCAACTACCAAAGCTACCGTTACCTGATGTCAGCTATCAGCTTTCTAGGCTGTTTATTGATGTGCTGACTATGCTGCCTTCCTGATGCATTTTTACCATCCAGGTGCAAGCGACTTCCAAAGGCCTTGAAAGAGTGGCCTGCCTACACTGATTTGGAGAAGACAATTAACGACTTCAATGATAAAGTTCCACTTTTGGAGATGATGACAAACAAAGCCATGAAACCGAGACACTGGCAGCGACTGGCTGATCTGACAAATTACAACTTTAACGTGGAGTCGGAAAACTTCACACTGAAAAATATGTTGGACGCTCCGTTGCTTGATGTAAAGGACGATGTAGAAGATATATGTGTCTCTGCTGTGCGCGAAAAGGACATCGAAGCTAAGCTGAACGTGGTGGTAGCTGATTGGGCCAATCAAGAATTGAAACTCGCGCAATTCAAAACACGGGGTGAACTATTGCTGAAAGGGGATCGTATCAGTGAAATAATCCCAATCCTGGAAGATTCCCTTATGATATTGAGTTCGTTGATGAGTAATCGGTAAGCAATAAGTCTTGCAACTCAACAAAGCGGATTAGTTTTAAGGACATAAAATCACTTTTGATGGGACCCGAGGATAATTAGAGCTGATATCCTGTGAAACAAGTGTTATCCATCTAATACTTTAACCATGACCTGTCGTTGGAATGACCTTGTCAACCTTTGTATGATGTATGTGGTATCCATCGTTGCTCTCACTGAGCTGTGTCAACAGCGGGATTGACCGAGTAGCAAAATAAATGTTTCACACCTAAAAATTGTAAAAAATACTAGTTCTTTCACAGTGCCTTACTTTCAGTACCTGTCACTTCACTATTGGTCATGATAAGTGGTGATCATGCATACGGTTTCAGTCGAATTTAAGATTCCCGGGTAAGGGGGAAACATGGGTATAAGCGTAATACAGTTCGGAAAAATAACATGAATCCGTAAACGATTAATGGCAGTGCCAGAAATCGCATTTCTACCGCTGCTCAGCTGCCCAAATAAAAGGGATTATCTGGTTGACCATGAAAAAACCAAGGTATACTTCTGGCTTGTGGTAGGCGTTCTCGTATTTGTGTGCTTGCGATCGATAAACGGAATTTTTACCGTTCAGATTTTTTAACGCTCCCATTTGTACGTGTTCCTTATGAATACCGTTCACTAACTCGTGCCATACTGCATGCATAATCAAATGGACCGGGTTCCAAAGGTAGCGCATCGTCCAAAGGCGATATTCAGGCCATAAGTGTTTACTATAGGGACTACATCAGTGTGCGAACACTGAATTCTATCCCTTTACTTTTAGCTACAACGCACCATTCCGCAATTCCATTCAAGAATGGGTTCAAAAACTGAGTACTACAAGCGAAGTTTTGGAGACATGGATGCGGGTGCAAAATTTATGGGTATATTTGGAGGCGGTATTCGTGGGTGGCGATATCGCGAAGCAGTTGCCATCAGAAGCCAAGCGTTTTCAAGCTGTTGATAAGACATGGATTAAGGTCATGGAGAGAGCACGTGACACACCAAACGTCATCGCCTGTTGTGCTGGGGATCAGTCGTTACAGGAGCAGCTTCCTAGACTTTTGAGTCAACTGGAATTGTGCCAGAAATCCTTGTCAGGTTATTTGGAGAGAAAACGACTACTCTTCCCTCGGTTCTTCTTCGTATCCGATCCAGTTCTTTTGGAAATCCTTGGACAGGCATCGGACCCACATGCCATCCAAGCCCACTTGTTAGCCATTTTTGACAACACAAAGCGTGTGCAGTTCGCGGAGAAGGCCTTTGATATATTGGCAGCCTTTTCACAAGAAGATGAGAAGTTGCCTGTAAGTCACAGTTTCTCATTGGCCAATGAAGGGATGGAGATCGTAGCATTTTGTTGTGTTAACTTTTACATTTTCAAATTTGTCGTTAAATTCACACTTAACCCAGCTGGAAGACCACCGAAAAATTGGAAACCCTGTCAATGTCAAACATCAGAGGAAGTTTATTCGGGACGATGACAGGTTAGCATTCTCTGGCTTACGTATATCCTTCATCAGAGATTACTCGTAATTCACAATGACCTGATGCAGTTCGTGAGCAGGATACTGTCGGTGTACTGTTTGACTTAATCATCTGAGCATCCTACTGATTTTTGCCAGTACTATATTCTCCAGGGTCACAGTCTTCAACCTGGACCTCCAGTTTCTTTGGTGTTCTGAAGTATTTGACTAAGCTTTGATTACAGCTCATTGCCTTGCTCTTCTATTTTGCCGGACCCTGCGTTGTTTGTTCAGCATGGTAGACAGGAAAACACGTTGCTGGGTACAGGAAAACTTACTTATGTGAATTGGGCAATTTTTACGGTAACGCATGTTCGCCTCCGTCGGTTATCAATGAATTTGGATTTTTAACGCACGAAACGTATGAAAATACAGAAGATTTATTCCTAACTGACTCTCGTCTTTGCACGTTTGGGTATTTTCGTTGCATAGTGGGTAAGTGCCTGTATATCGGTCTCAGAATTTACACCGTCAAGTAAATCGTCCACTATCAAGACATTTTTCATTTGGGGGGCGAAGACGTCGGGTGCTAAAAAATCAGTATGACAATATGCACTCGAACTGATTTTGATTACGCGATCAACCGAATCGTACGCTAACCGTGTGGTTGAGGGTATCGTGAAAGCTGAATTGGTACCCTTTGCAGCTGGTGCCAGGGTTACCTAGTCATATGATATCATGGGTGTGATGGGGTCTTATACTCAGTACTTACTTTGTTATCAGATTGACCATGTGGTCATTGTTCAGAAGTGCATTGTTTCCAGCCTAATGCCGAAAAAATACACCGTGACTTCCCGATTATGAATCGGACTGCCAGTGGCAAAGAGAACAAGCAATAATAAATTTTCTGAAGTAACCAATTTGAAATGGATGACATTGTTGACATCGCACCTATCTATACTGAGCTGTTTAACCCCCAGGACTGGACGGATTAGCCTATTAGCACTGGTCTGCGGGTCTGGATGAAACGATCTTTCTGGGCCCAATATACCCTATTTAGGGTGAGCAATAGCCTTAAGTGTATTTAACGAACTCAAAAGCTTATTTTCGTCTAATGATCATGGAATCGTGCTTGTCTGTTGCTTCCTGACCCGCACATCATTAACGAAATAGCTACGATGTCAGTGAGACAAATTGCAGCCAGCATTTTGAGTACAACACATCAAACACTACTTTCCCAAGAAATGCACCAAATGCAGTCGGTTCCAAGAAGTAAACGGGCGGAAATCGAGGACCAAGAATTTCTAGAGTGACAGGACCTTATATTTTCACTGAAGCAAAATCAATTCGGAATATTCCGGACGCCAACGGCTGGCCGCAACCCTCTGGTAAACTGCTTCGCTGACAATCAGGTGCACACAGTAAAAGCCTGCTGATAAGCAGGCTTGAATTTTAGTCCTGCTAACCACTGTGTCAACTTTTGGATGGTCTTGACGTTTTGGTGGCCTAAACATTGCTTACTCTCAACACAAGTGTCATGGAACCTTTAATGAACTAATACGGAAAGTTCGAGGTAGAATAGTCCCTTGAGGCGTGCTTTCTTTATCCACACCCATAGTGTCCTTTTAAGAGGTAAAGCAGATGGTCTTGTTGCTAGGTCAGTGCGCTGATTAGGGGGCTCGCACTCTTTGGCGTAGTATTTGTGGCCCTGTTGAATGGTGGTGCTACAAACATCGACTTCTTTTTTCCGTGAGTTTTACAATACAAGATGCCATTCCCTCTGTCTCCGAAAGCCACTTCCATATTCGAACCTTCAGGAAGTCCCTCTTGTTGTCTTACGTGGTTTGTGTGTAGTAATGGTTTCATTATGTCGTGCTTGTGGGAAAAATTATTTACGTCGTTTAAGATAAAATTTAGACCTCCGTAATTCGTAGCTAAATAACCACTTCAATGCATATGAGGTGAAAGATTCAAAGCACACCGGCACCTCGATGGAGGTTCCGTTGAATTTGCATTTGACCTAGCGCATTCTCTGACATATCGAGAATGCACTTAGTGGCTTTTGAAAGCCTTCCGGTGTCTGCATGTGATTTAAGGGGTCCATTATATACTTTCGGTGATACTGGGCCTACTTATGGGGAATTTTCGATCCGGCGACTCATACAACAATACACGACAATCAGAATGTGGTGCACAGACGTCTGCCGCTCGCACGCTATTCTCTATTTCATTGTCACCATGCCTTTACAAAATAAGCATCCTTAATTATTCCAAAGATCGGTTTTTCTTAATCTAATAAAAAGTCATTTGTTGGCATTAACAGACTGAGAGTACTCACGAACGCGTCGAATCCCTTCTGATCAATTTCTGGGAACACCATACTACACGTCGGGTTTCACACATGCCAATGACAAGTTTTAGAGTTACGTAAATTTACAGCAAAGTTTTGTCAGAGGAAGTCAAAAGCTTTCCTTTCGTCATACGAACCTATAATAAGGTAATAAGGGGTTGGGAGGAATAAATTATCCTGGTTTGTCTAATTGTCCTCACCTCCCACTCTTTGAAAAGATCATGGGTGTGTTTCTTCATGGAATGACAGACATCACAGAGTTCCACAATAATCTATTCGAACTTCAACCATTCTTTTCTTCCTTTCGTTAACAGATGATTAAACCAGTCAAATGCGAAGGACACGTGGAACACTGGTTGCACGTTTTACTCAAAACTGGCCAAGCTTCCCTTCACAGCCTTATTCGAAAAGCCTACTATGAAATCATTGACCCAACTGTTGATCTGACAGAGTTTTTCGATAACCAGTTGGCCCAGATCGGCTTGCTGGGTATTCAAATTTTGTGGACCAGTGATGCGACGGATGCATTGAACTCAGCTCGAGTCGATCCGAAAATCATGAGCAAAACGAACAAACACTTCCTGGAAATTTTAAATAAACTGATTGGAGAGACAACTCGTGAACTGAACAAAACTATGCGTACAAAGTACGAAACCCTGATCACAATTCACGTGCATCAGAGGGATATTTTTGATGACCTGGTAAGTTGATGCTCTTTAATCGACAGTTTGTCTATCCTCCATGTGAAATCGCTCCCAAGGATATGGTAGTGAACAGTAAGGTGCATAGGGAGTCCAGGCATGAACTGAAACTGTCACTTGCCTAGCCCATTGCACCAATATCCGGAGACCGTAGTGCAAATGGGGATATTTTAGGTCTTCGGTCACCTTGAATTGATTCCAAGGCAATGGTGCCAGCTTTCTCCCTTGAAATGGCACCACAAACTATCAGCAAGTTCCATCCTTAGCATACTAGTCACTATTTTTCAGTTGCATGTCAACAGAAAGTTTCAGCTCCCCTAACTCCTCCTATGACTAACAGGATATTTTGGCCCTCCAGTGATGGAGATATATATGTAGGTCTGTATCCACTTTCGGTTCTTCTGTGTTAACTTAGGAAGTACAAGAAACATTCTGACTGAACTTAAAAAGCTGTCGATCTGAACAATGGTATTTTTATTGCGAATGGACACCGGCAAATGAGTCGTTAGTTCACTCTAGTTTATTAAACAATGGCAATGCTGTTGATATCGTGACGCTGACTAGAATAACTACGGTGGTTTTTGCAGCCGTTCGCTGGCAATAAACAGCGGAAAATTTACTGAGTGATTTGTTTGTTTGTTTGTTGAGCGGGAAAATTTGGTTGCAAATGGCTCTCATTGACAACGAGGTCGTCATCAGTATGTAGTTGTGGAGCGGCACGGGGTCAGTTGGTGAGTTTAGTGATAGTGTACATGTATTCGTGAGCATCCGAGTGACCCCAGATCATTGAATTTCTGACCAAACCGGCCCATCGGCTTGTTCGTGAGCTTTTTGCTCTGATCGAATGGCGTCCATTTGACCTTTGAGCGTGGCTTGTCTTACACTAGTCGACCTCGCGCAATTGATCTCACATTCCAGTCTATTTCAGACGGATTCCTGTCTCGGGGCCTCTTGTTTCGCTGATCTTGTTTCTGGTTGACTTGTCTTTCCTGCACACGAAGCGGTGTGCAGACTGGGACCAGTCTGACGTGCCGACCGATCGTGGACTACCATGAACCCACAGATTATCTTGTTTTCTACGTCTGCCTACCAATATTACATCAAAATGAATGGGACTGGGGTAGATGTTGATACCCGATCAGCTAAATTAGACTCTGGGTCCAATACCATACTAAATTCACAAGTGTCAAAGAGGAAAGTCACACAATGCCCATCGTCCTGTGGTCGCAGTTCAGTTTTATTTTACCAGCTTTGGGTTACATGTCCTGCATGTTCTGATCTGACGTACAGTGGCTTGGGCGTATTGTTCTTGTATGAGAAGCTATATCTTGTGTTTCTCAGTTTGTGACGGTTAATTTTCCCTTCGGCCTTCAGTCTGGTCACAGACCACAGGAAAAACTAGTTCAATTTATTAACATTTCTCGATTTTTTCAGTGTAAACAAGGGATCAGATCAACGATTGATTTCGAATGGACAAAGCAGACGCGAACTTATTTCATGGAAAAGGTGGACAAGTGCGTCATCTCCATAACGGATGTAGACTTTGTCTACCAGAACGAATTCCTTGGTTGCACAGAGCGTTTGGTCATTACTCCTCTCACGGACAGATGTTACATCACTCTAGCCCAAGCGTTAAATATGGGGCTTGGAGGTGCCCCAGCCGGACCGGCTGGGACTGGCAAGACGGAAACCACGAAAGTAAGTTATACTGATGCATAATGCTACACAGAATTGTGTCATTATATGTTAGCTAAGTGCCCTGTGAAATGATTTCCTCTTAACTCTACAGTTTTCCGGGATATGTCATCACCGCATACAACGATGCCAGCTGCACCACCAGACTGGCTTGATGACCATGATTGTAAAGACTTTACAGGCACTGCCAGTTGAGATTATGAAGGGCAACTTTGATTCCCGGATTTGCTTGACATATCTCTATGAACCTGCCACCACAGTGGCATTATATCATGCTCATAATCAAAGGCATGATAATCACTTGACACGTGTGAGTTCTGTGGGTTTGTGATGCGCAATTTACTGATTGCATCGTTTTTCAGTCTCTCAGTGTTACGGTTCGGTCACGCAGCGAGCAAACAATATGATAATGCGGATTGTGGCAATACTCTATCCCCAGCTATGTTGCTTGATACAGACTCCTAGCACGGCGAATAGTAAGAAGACGAGAACCTCGGACACAAACTTTAATAATCCAACAACACACGATCAACAGGCGATGCCCGGAGCTTCCGAACCCAAGTCAGTGGAAAGAATGGTATCCTGTACGTGGTCGGATTTAAATTTTCTTGGAGTATCAATAGGCCATTGATTTTTCATAGTTTGACCTTGAAGATGCCAGGAGTTCGCTAGCACACATAAAAACAGCGTTTTCTGGGGGATATTGATATCCCCAACACTCAGGTTTGCGCGGCTTACTTAAAGCTCCACTTAGCAAAAGTCCGCTGTGTCAAGTGATCCACTATATAATGCCACATTGACTAAGCAGATCACCCGATGTAACTGAATCATAGCCTTACCTTCATACCTCAACTGGATAGGATGAGTGAAAACACTGCATCCAGATGGTTTGGCAGCCCAAAACGACACATCTTGGTTAAGAAACTGGAATGGACTGAAGTAAACTTAATGCTAATTGGCCTCATCTCAGATTTGTCTTTTTCCATCTTCTATCACAAAGCTTCAGTTTTTTTCAGCGTCGCACTGCCCCCATCGCTGAACTGAGCCCCTCCTTAAGGGCTTACGCTCGACCTACACGGCTTAAAAAAACTTGAATGGCCATCTCGCTTTCACTGTCTACATCCGCGCTTATGCTGACCTCACTCGTCTCCAACACCGGAGCAATTCCACAGTGAGTTGAGCAACGGAATTGAGGGTGGAGATGACCATGGTCTGCTGTCGTCCGCATGCGTGTCCGAAATCCAGGACATTGAGATCAGATGACTCACTAGGTCGTGGCGAGATTGCGCGGGACAGTGGTGATATCGATCAGGACCTGAATGGGACATGGGTGAAATTAACTGGGACAGGGGCTGGCATCCGTTATATCTTGGCTTCATGGGTGCACTAGACCTTAGGTCCGTGATGCTTTCTGTTACATATGACTGGCCGGGTACAATTATCTTGGATGCAAAGCCGATAGAGTGCTTTGACCTAGAGAGGGTGCTCGCAATAAAAACAAAATGATTCTGACCAGTGCTTCACTCCTTAGACCACTCACTAATATCAGTAAAAACATGCCGGGGTTCAGTCGCACTGCCCCCCCACCATAGTTACACTGACTTGATGTCAAGTACTTCAGGCAAGCATTCCGTATTTAGGACAAATCAGTCCGGAGTGTGTTTCCATGTATAACAACCAGCAAATGAACGACGGTGTGAAAACTGCACGTTTGTCAGAGGTTAGTTTGATCTGAACTTAGTGCACAGAAGATACTCCTTGTAGTGATGAGTTTTTTCTCTAAATATGGTGAAGCTCCTAGTCCACCTACTATAAATGGTAAGTCCGTGCCCTTCAGGTGCGCAAACAGCCGATCAAAACTGTTCTCAAAACTTCACTGGCCCTCACACTGTGGAGTAGGACAACTACATTGCGTAATATTTGGTAGACTGTCTTCAGAACTCTCCATTTTTTGGAATTCATTTCACAAAACACAACGGCGGGTTTTAATGTGTCCTAACAAATAGGACTGTGACCTTCAAACAGAGATGTAGACTGAAGTACAAACCCATTGCGTGTGGATGCTGAATTTGTGACTGTTTTGGCAGGTTAGATTGAACACGGAGAAAAACTACTTGCCTAAGAGTTCGTTGTTTTCATTCTTGCTCCCTATTTTATTTGAATTCACAGCTCTGCAGTTGTAAAGCAAGGGATCTCAACACTGTCCGTCAGCAACCACACGTAGGCCTTTTAACTACCGGCTTGCATGTGTATGCGGATCGTATGGTCTAGTGAGATGTGAACCGATTTCTGGACGTATATCTCTATTGATCCTTCAGTCAAAGGCCTGCTTTGATCTTCTTACCCTTGTCAACTTGTGTACTCCCAAATGCTGTTCCTCAGAGCATACTACAGATATCTATAATGTGTTTTAGTCAGTTATTTCACCCAGGTTTTCTGTGAAATTCGAGGATTCAGTGACAGATGCACGTGTAGTCTGTTCGTGCCGTGCCCCCAAATACGCGAGCTGCTCAGGTTTGAAGTATAGAGGGCTCATCTGTCCAACCAGGTTTCGAGGCCCTATACACTTTGAAGATACGAGATAACGTGAACTATTCCGTCTGATAGCTGTATGACATAACAATGTGCAGTCATCAAATTTGTACTCCGAATCAAATCGACCCACTCAATTGTGCTTCGCAGCCACGTTAACCTACATGCTGCTGATGGTTGCTAGTAGACGGTTCGGTACTAGAGGTCAAAGCAACCTGAACAGGAGCAGGACATGAAGGATTTATCAAAAGAAGTATGTTGTCTGGCTTGCAAGGACGCAACAGCCGTTCACTGGAGAAACTCAGCAAGTTAGCCGGCAAAATATTGCTTGATATCACTGCACGAACCTGCGAACACTGCGAACACTGAGTAGCCTATAGTAATTCTTGACAAATGGCACACATCCACGTGTGATTTCATTAGAAGAGACAAAACCAGGTAACAATTCTACCCTTTATGCCTGGAATTTTACAAGATAGTTGAACGCATGATGCAACCTAACAACGACATCATTAGACCATTTCTGTTAGAAGTATTCTGTCCTACTCCTAAATGTTTTCCAGTTAATACGCATGATTCACTGGTTCTTCTAATGCTGAACGAGTTGGTTATCGCAGTCTGACCCAATGAAGGCTTTGGTTTCCTTCTTCAACAACTTCAACAACTTCATTGTTGTGCATCATTCTCTTGGGCGATCCAAATACACAGCTACAGTTGGAAGAGTGTGAGTGGAGGAAGAACAGAACGTCAGTGTGGATCAGAGATCTTAGTTTCAAAGATTAAAAATATGTAAATTGCCGGATTGAAAGGAATTTTCTGGTCAGCGTCAAGGTTGTTATCAGGAAGGTAAGATTCCTGAAAGCAACTTCAGAACGCCCGGAACCTACTGCTCCAACAAAAAATCAACTGGAAAGCCGGCAGGCATCCAGGCCAATCAGTCATTCAATCAATTCAGTAAAACCTGGTGAGTGTTCTTGCGGCCACAGAAGCACGACCGAATGTGATCAGCGCTCAGGCTTTTCACAGAGGCACGATCGATGTTGATGGGTGACCACTAACGCCTATCTGACAGCCTGGATCAATGTCAGAAAGTCCCCTTTAAATAGCGTGGGGCCGTTGTAACTTTTGCTCCCTCACTCACTCACTTGTTCGGGATACAGCTGTTGTGTTCCCTTCTGTGAGTCTTTTCTCTCCGACACTAGGCACTGGAGCGGGTCAGCAGCAGATACCACAGATTGACGAATCAGCAGATATAACAGTTGTCAGTGGTTAACCCATCTATTTACTTTTCCTGTACTCACTTCTATTCACCAAACCAGCTAATTGACATTTTGAAGTCAGGACAACCCGTCTGTAGCGACACCCGGCACGTAAAACTTGGAGATTGTATTACTGATGCCTTCAATTCGGACCAGTGGTATTTTCGGGTGCGTGTTTTGTTGGAAATTTGAATGTGCTCAATTTTCACTTGATGTAGTATTACTCATAAAGTGATAGCAACTCGTCGACTGCCCACCAGCAGTCGCGTCTTACTTTGGGCTCATAAATGATAGACACCTTTTTATCTCACGTGAAAACCGTCTCAATTCGTGTGTTTGATCCAACCTGGCTGAATTTATTGTTTTTTTTCAAATTTCCATGATCCCTCAACAGGATATGGGACGTTGTTTGGGCAAGTACGTTGTCGTGTTCAACTGCTCCGATCAAATGGACTTCCGAGGCTTGGGTAGAATCTTTAAAGGATTGGCACAATCTGGTTCTTGGGGATGCTTCGACGAATTCAATCGGATCGAATTACCCGTGTTGTCCGTTGCGGCTCAACAGATCGCTATTATCTTGGCAGCCAAACGAGAGGGAAAAACATCATTCATCTTTTCTGATGGGGATCACGTCGAGTTGAATCCAGAATTTGGTCTATTCCTGACAATGGTATGTTCTGCAATTTTTATTGCTCTACATTGTCTTTTGCATGTGCATTCTGGTTTGAATACCGCTAGTAGCACTAAAGAAAACAAACGGGAGTTAGTTCATCCAAGCATTTGGAAGCACTGAATCCCACTCAGATCTGTGAGGGAGGGATCTGTGAGGAGAGACTTGACGAGAATTTGATGTTTCTGTTAAGTTCGTCAGCTTTCCAAATACGGCATTCACATACACACTCAGCACGCACTAATAGCAATGAGAGAACACACGTGGTGATATGCTGGCATAACGGGTCGTCGCTTCCGAACGACTGAACATGCCAGAGTCTCAGACAACTGTAACAGTGAACCCAACCCCATCAACAGCTGCTGATAACACATCGTTCAGTTGATCCCAGTTGATCATTCACAATACGGCTAGGTAGTCAAACACTTGAGGTGCCAGCATTCGACTAGGTAGTGACAAGTTTATGTGCACAAAAGGTGGTAACCAAACACCTGTCCTCCTGGACACTGCTAATGAAAACGTGACGAAGACAGCTTGTCAGATATACCTTCTTACAATCCTGATCAACTGTTACTAGTTCACCAGCAAAATCCTCATATAACGCCTCAAAGTCCCTTATAATAAACGTCTTTGATGGTTTGTGTAAACGAGCATTTCTGCTTCTCTTTGCCCTTGAGTTGCACATCAAACATGAGACGTACGACAACAAGTAATTTTAAAGTCTAAGGGATGCGTTTGGAAGAACCTCGAAGTTCGAAATTCAGTTCCAATAGAAGCTTGAGTGAAGTTTTAACCCACAGCGGAATGTAAAGTGTACGGTTTCTTGATAGAGCCCTACTCAAAAGGTTACTGAAAACTCTTCGACAGCCCACGATGAGTTTCTCGTTTGTCGTAACGAATGAAACATAAGGTAGCCTTTGTACAATTCATTCAGTTGAGGAATATCACAAAGGGTAGATTCAATTGTATCTACTGTAAATGGATGTATTTCGTAAGCTGTCCGGTTGTCCTCTATTCCCTGGTGCACACGATCGGTTAGTTCAATCCGGATACACATCTGACACCCGTTTGGTGAACTGTTTTTCTGCCCTGGTAATCAATGTTGATGATGACACAGAACCTACAGTACACGTTATTTTTTGTTCATTTAGGCATACCAACCAACCCTACGCTATGTCGACGCTTGTTTTTGTAGGTTTTCCTATGGGTGCCCCATGTACAGTAGCTATGACATGGAGCGCCTACGTAGGCGGAAAACCTTATTCAGAATGGGTGACTTTTTCCATCCCAGAAGCCTGTAGTTTAGAAGCCTTATTGACATCTGCCCTACGGACAAACGTCACTCTAGACCTACCTACTATAAACTGACAGAGCCTGCGGCCATGGTTGCGTAATCCCGTAGTTTGCTAATCGGTCGGCATAAATTGAATGAGCTGTTAGCCGCTACATCAGCAACCCTAGTGTGTCGCTGGTCGAGTTGTTGATGACACGTAGAGTAACTCTGCGAGAAGAGGAGTTCAGCATGGTATCGGGTCAGGTTAATGACACTGCACGCACGTATACACACACTGCTGGTGAGGTAGCACATACAGACTGTGTGGAGCTGTTAGGGTAGCACTAGCGATTAGCCTTGGCAGCTGGTCCCATCGTTAATCTGGTTGCTAAATCATGTTGTGAGCTGGGATAAACGAAAGTAGTAGGCGGTGTTTTCTAAGAAAGAAGGAGCGACATGTTATGATGGTAAGTCGTACCACTCATCACTCAAAAATGTGATGTCAGAACTGAGTTCGCTGAAATTCTCTAATTTCCATGACGGACTACAGAGTTGCCGACGCGTTCGACGAATCGCCAGCTGGTTGATCCATCATTGGAACACGAGAATAAGGCATATTTGTTGAATCAATCAGGGCAAGTTAACAGCACATGTGAGGACTTTATCACTGATATTTTGGTGGACTGCCATTGTGTATAAGGTTGTCACCTCAGCACAAGAACTCGCCATCCGAAGGGATAATTAAGGCTATTCATGGTCGTTGTCGTGTTCGCTGAGATAAGCGATTCGGTTGTAAATCAATGAGCTCAGTGAACATGAAAACAGGCATCTCTACAACGTGCGCCACCAATATTCCTTTCGATAGCACGACGAATCATAGAAATATGAATGGTTAATTCTGAAGTTTGCATCGCCTGACATGTTCGTGTGTTTATCCAGACAAGATCTTAATACAAATAAGTTTGAGGGATTGTCGAAAGACAACATTTCATTGTAAATGACAGAAAACATATACTGCGATATGTTAACATTTCCTTTTCTCTCTGCAATCGCGGACTTAAAATATACAAGTTTTAAAATGAATCTATCCACGAAAGCAATGACTTTGATTTCCCTAGGCGATCGCCGCTCGAGATCGGGTAAGAGTTACAGTGGGTGAAGAAAACCGAAGTTAGAAACACCAATGTTTTCCCTAATTTCGGTGTAATTTTTACTGGTGTAAGGAAGGCGGTAGGTAGTGGCTGTTTTTATATCTCTGTGTGTGGGTTACTTTACCCACTACGCAGTTGTGTGGCTTCTCATATGAACAGTTAATTCAGTTGATATCGAACTAACTAATCCCATCCCAAGAAGAGTGCTTTATTAGGTGTTAGCAAGTAAACCAATATTACAGATGTCGCATTCACATTGTACCTTTTGCAACGTTATTCCACTGAGTCCATAGGTTCATACCTTGAGACAGGTAGGTCCAGCGTGCACTGACGTAACAGTGGTAACATACTAGCGTTCAATATCAAATGTGAGGAGTTCAGACCTCAGCAAAGCTAGAGTTATGTTCTGCTAATGAGCTCTAATTAGAGCGATGCTGGATTCCAGTACTCACTGTCTTTGGTACTGACTAACCAGATAACTACGCCGAGAAGCCTGTTCAAACGAGGGTGATGTGAATGCACTTTCTACGAATCCCACAACCACCGATAACTAGTACTACATTTGTTTCACGCTGGAGAGACCACTGTCAGAAGGAACCACTTTTTCTGGTCGCTTGGATTTTTGTTGAACTTAATTTCCATGGAGTGACCAGCTGTCGTTTGAGCGACTTCTTGTTAAACTCCTCCAAGAATAGACCAATAATGCATTACTTCTCTTTGTCTGACTTGCAAACAAAGAGAAGTTACACCCAATCGTTTTGATTAAGTTTTGGGTTGCAGTTACGGTGTAATGACCACATAGACGAGTCCAGTCACCGGCTAAATATGCTGGGAGATGAATTTTGTATTGAAGCGGTCCATATGCCACAACATGTTGCTTAAGGACATAACGGTCTAGGTAGCTTTGGCGGCTGAGTTATATTTGCATATGTTGAAAGTTCTGATCTAAGAAGGATCTCTAACTGAAAAGCTACCTATAAATGACCACAACAAAATCTTGAATTTTTGGAACGCGCCTGACGCAAACGGCGGATTTTGTTTTGACTTAATATTGACGAAGTCAGAATGACTTGAAGAATGACTTGAATAGTCACACTGTTTGTCTATTCATCGAAGATCACAGAGGACAAGTGGATTTCTGTTTAATTTGATGGTTGTACTAAGGGTGGGTTCAAACCCCGGGAAGCTTTGCCAAGTGAAGCCCCCTGTCCTGGACCTATCCCATTAAGAGCCACTTGATTTATACCAACAATAACGTCGTATAGATTTTCGCTGATACTTACTTCGAGTACACCGCAGATTTTCGTCTGAAGATGGAGACAAACAGAACAAGTGATAAATATTGAATTAGCACTGACAGCATCAATTCACAAATACTATATTATATGACCATCTACAAAGAAATGCAGTTTTCAGCACAGCCAAAAATGAAAGATATTTAGGGGGGAAGGCATTTTTCTAGAGAATGTTTCCGTTACTTTTCATTACCTTCTCCCAGGAAAGACTACCTCTCAGAAGAGATCACTTTCAGTCGATCACCTTAGCTTGTCTCTCAAAGGGGAGAGAACTCTACACCATTTATATCGTGATTTGCCTCTTTGTTTCTCACATCTACAGAACCCAGGATATGCTGGACGACAGGAACTGCCAGAAAACCTGAAGATCAATTTTCGATCGGTGGCTATGATGGTGCCTGATAGGCAGATCATTATTCGAGTCAAACTGGCTGCCTGTGGTTTCGTGCAGAACATTATCTTGGCTCGCAAATTCTATGTGCTATATAAATTATGTGAGGAGCAGCTGACGAAGCAGGTGAGTTCCGAAACCGATGTGCCGTTTCTATAGAAACCTGAATGTTGTGAACTTTTGCATGTGTTGACAGAACAGAATAGAGCTCTCACATCCTGGGAAATACACTAATTTGCAAATCAATTTGGTTTTCATGGGAGACTCTCTCTCGTTTATGATGTCCTCCAGCTGAATGTGCTGCACACAGGCCGCCTCATGATTCAGTTGGCACGATATTCGAGATATCGCAGTATATTTTCATAAAGGAAACTACTCCCAAGGTTGCTGAAAACTCACATCCTGTTTAGTGTGTCATGGGGCTCAGAAATGTTTAGATCGTAGGATGCTGAATTTTGGGTCGCCGAACCTAAATCTCAGTCACTGAATCAAGCTGGAACCTCTGGGTTGCTGAAACTCACATCCTGTTTAGTGCGTCATGGGGCTCAGAAATGCTTAGATCGTAGGATGCTGAATTGTGGGTCGCCGAACCTAAATCTCAGTCACTGAATCCAGCTGGAACCTCTGTCACTTGGCGAAAAACATATTGCTAATGTTGACTTCTAGTGACTCGAGTTCGTTTTTCTGACTTCAAAGGTTTTGTGCATATGGATTGGGTTCACAGTTATTATCCTTCTCTACTATCCGAGTCCCTCAATAGGTTTTAGATCAGTCGGTTTTGCTGGTTTGTTGGAAACACTAAGGTATATTTACATAGTTTTGTCATATAGCTAAGTTACCGTGTGAAAGCTGAGTTGGATGCTATCACATAACACTTACTGGATTCTCTGTCATAGATCACTGAGTCACGGCCATGAACAACTCTCTTTTTGAAGCGGAACAGTTTCTAAATGGGGAACACAAATAACATCTTATTGTGCAATGGATAAATTTTTTCAGGCTAATCGCTGGATTATTGAAGTCGGATTGAGTGTAAAATGGTGATGGAAGGAGATAACAGTAAAAGTAAACCGCCTCCACAATTTACAACGCTCAGCAGGATAAACGGAATAGTTAAAGATTTAATAACAGTGTATAATTGTTGCAGTATATAACAGCTCCATTCGTCTAGAGTGAACGCCGAAGACCTATCCTTCTCTTCCAGGTGCATTACGATTTCGGTCTGCGGAATATATTGTCTGTACTACGAACGCTTGGAGCCGCAAGGCGTGCGAATCCAAATGACTCTGAGGACCGTTCTGTTATGCGCTGTCTGCGTGATATGAATCTGAGTAAACTGGTGGACAAAGATGAGCCTTTGTTCATGTCACTCATTGATGATCTGTTTCCGGGTATTGTACTCGATAAAGTCAGCTACCCTGAGCTGCAATTGGCGATACGAAACCAAGTCACTTCAATGTCTCTCATCAACCACCCGGCCTGGAATCTGAAAGTTATTCAGGTAAAGTGCTCCATTAATTGTTGAGTCTGCGTGGTGGTCCTCGAACTGATATAAGTAATATGCTTCTTTCAAGTTTCAGGCTAGATCGTTTGTCTGTATTGGAAGTGCGTACAGACAGATTTGCTCATGTGTTTATTGCGATTGTATTTTATTACCTGTTACTTCACAATAAACAGGACTTTACCATACTGGAATATCGATGTTTAAAATGGATATTTTTCAGACATATAATCAATAACCGTCATCCTATTGGCAAGATCATAAGGTCCCATGTAATAACGTAAAGTTACAATCAGAATAAGAGTAGTAAATGCGAATAAGACCGTGGTAAAACAAATCGATATGGTGGAAGCAAAAATATGGATCAATAATATTTTAGCCATGTCAGTTTTTACAACGTAGCCTGGTTTTCGAGACAGTGTGGATAACAGGTTCTAAGAAGAGGATGTTACAAGTTTCAAAGTTTTGCTTAAGGTGAATTGAAAGTAGGGAGAATTTTCGATCCACTGGCCCTTCCACTGCAGCTCACAGCACAGCCTCTGTTAGCTTAATTTTGCTTATGCTACTACTTTGTGCTCAGTAGTGTGAACATTTCCCTTACCACCAGCTATTCGAGACCCAACGCGTACGTCACGGCATGATGACTTTGGGGCCGTCAGGGGCAGGGAAATCTTGCTGTATAAATGTCTTAATGAGAGCCATGGGTGAATGTGGTTCACCACATCGTGAAATGCGGATGAACCCGAAAGCAATCACAGCACCGGAAATGTTCGGCAAGTTGGACGTCGCAACCAATGACTGGACAGATGGGATCTTTTCCACGTTATGGCGCCGTTCATTGAAGACGAAAAAGAACGAGAATGTATGGCTTGTGCTCGATGGGCCAGTGGACGCTATTTGGATCGAGAACCTGAATTCCGTGTTGGACGATAACAAGACCCTCACACTGGCCAATGGAGATCGTATCCCCATGGCACCCAATTGCAAAATTATCTTTGAGGTTCATAATATTGACAACGCTTCGCCTGCCACGGTGTCCCGAAACGGTATGGTATTCATGTCAAGTTCGGTACTGAACTGGGATCCAATTACAAATGTGAGTTTTTGATGCTCCTTTGGTCTGTTGGAAAAACTTTTTGACGCAGTGTTTTCCATGGTACGTCTGTTACAGAATAACTAAAAAGAAAACCGGCTAACGTAGCTATTTTCCTCCCAATAGGTACATCAGCTCTGATGGATTCTTTTTACCACACTGACTTGGAGCATCAGATTTTCAATGTAGTATTATTCATTCTGATCTTCGGCCGTAGTAGGGTATTGACGATCAGAACAATCAGATGCTTAGGGTGAACGCTTCTGTGCACTTTTACAGCAGTAAGTGGAAAGCTTATTCCCGTGGGCTGGGGCAGGTAAGTTAGCTTGGATCACTGGGAAGAATATCCTTCTCTAGTCGCCTTTGAAGACGTTGTACATGCCAGTGGTTTCTGTGAGGTGGCAACACTCCTTGAAAAGAACCCGAGATAACTTTGAAGAACTAGGTAGATGTCATTTGATTCTGATGCGTGGTGCACTTGAATTCAAACTCAATCATTCAAAGCGTCTTCTCAACCCTATGAGTAGTTTTCCGTCAATAAGAAATCAATCGATATCTGTTAAACAGTAACAGTCATGCGCACGTGCCATCAGATTAGCCACCGGTCCATCTTTTTTGTCTGTTCACTGGATTGTGCGTCGAACCACTCAAGTTCCAGTATGAAGTACCACCATTTGATCATTCCTGTCAAGTAGAAAAATCACTGATCCGCTTGGTGCGATGACCCCATGGACGATGAACTGGGTGGGGGGGTGGATAGTGGTGGGAAGACGGTATAGGGCGTAGGTTAGCGAGTGTCGGTATATCGGGATGTACACTGTTTGTGGTCGGGTTCATTCGTTGAACTGTTTATTTAATAGAAATTCAGGTTTGAACATCTGCCCAGTTTGCCATTCCGAATCAAGTGACGTCATCTAGGAACGCCTTATAACCTCTAACGATATGCATATGTAAAAAACTTCGGATTATGATTGCTTGCATGGTCTATTCGTTTAGTCTGAGATGTTGAGGAGTTTAGAAACTTCTTCACTTTGATAAAGGAAACTACTCACAAGGTTGCTGAAAACTCTTCGGCAGCCCACGACTGGTTTCGCCCTTCTTGGGGCTCATCAGGTAGGCGCAGTCCCCGAGTTTCCGTCAACCTTATGTTCTACTAGAACCCAAATTGGACTGTTTTTACTTTGATTTTCCTAGGCTTGGCTTTTGAAACGACCACAGGCAGATCGTGAGAAGCTCCACAATTATTTCAAGAACTCGTTCCCACAAACACATCGCTATGTAACTCAAAATCTGCAACTCAAGATGGCCTACCATGAGGCATTCTTGGTTCAACAAGCTTGCTCGATCCTCGGTGGTCTTCTGCCTGGGGACATTCAGGTACATTGACTTGGAGTATTCATTCAAAGTTTGTTCGCAGTTACTTTCGTGTTAAACCCTTTTTCAATACCCTGAGTGCGCAGTGAAACGACGCAGATCACTTTTTATTTTTCGCATGGAGTTTGTGGGAGTCTTTCGTGGTTGAAGTACTACATATTTTCATTCGCAGTGGGCTTCCACTTTGCAAGTTATTGTGAAAGAAGTAAGGTGATTTGTCACTTGTATCCACTTGTACTTGAAAGTGAACTTCACACTTCATTGGAACATACCCATCCTCTTGCAACAAACGTCCTCGGTAGTTTGCGTAACGGAATGTAACTTGAGCTTGATTCACATAGCCGGTAGTTTTCCATAAAAAATCAACGAAGCAGCAAAGAACTGTTTCCCCCCACTGGGTTGGAAGCATGGAAAAAGGAATCGCAGTGCTACATTCCACATAGCGCTTTCTACATGAATTCAATTCTGTGTCAAATCCAAAGTGCTTTTTGCTCTGGAAGATAATGCGGCCTAAGAGAAATGCCTTGGGATGATTCACCTGTCAACCTTTATTAAAACAGCAGGAGTTAATTTCTCGGAGAAGCAGACAGTGAACATACGATCGGTCTTGGCAGTTCATCTCTTTCGAGCGCAGCAACGGCTCTTAATCCAAATCTCTGGATCCATGCACAGTTACACCCTGGATTTCTCGGGGGATTCTGCTCAGTGCGGTGCTATTTTTCTGTCGCTACCACCCACATTTACGTACACCCGTCCAACCACCTAAAATTTCAATGTCAGAGAAGACGACATTCCCATCAGTTTACGCTAAGGGCAACGATATTAACGCATATGTGTCTAGTGTGATACTTCGAGATAATCGGCCAGCTTCCCAATTGTCCTTCGTAACGTCAAATAACAAGATCCGGTGAATGTTGCTTTTCTATTTTGACGTCAACCCAGCGGTCAACGCACCTCAAAAGAACATAGTGGTTGCTGGCCACAAAGAGAAAACTAAGAGTGGTTGCACTAATTAACGTATCGCTAAAAGCCAGGTACGCAACTTCGACAAAAACAAGAAACATGCGAATCTAGTTTTAATGGGAAGTTAAACTGAATCACAGCTGGATTTCTTGTTTTATAATACTCTCCAACTGAATGTGTTGCACAAGAGCCGCCTCATTTTTAATCTGGGCGTTCCTTGAGAAACCGCAGTTTATTTTCTTGGCAAAATACTGGGGTTCATTTGAGTCTTTAGTTAACACCACCGTGGTTTGCACATGGGCGTACTTCGTCAATTGCGTACAGTTTGGCTTCAAGTAGAAAGTAGAAACTCTGGGGATTGAACCTATCAGATTTGTTTCAAAAACGGCGAAACCGGCCGTATACTGCCAAGGATTTCTTCGACAATCTTACGAGTACTGAGTGTCATCAAGACAGGACTCATTTACTTCAACAATGGAACTCGCGAGTTTTTAGAATCACAAATAGCTTCAACTCCATAAAACACACCTGATGCAGTCCGCATTAGGGTCTATATGGTCTGGGGGAAACAGGCCGAAAATTCGAATTGTAGAAAATGGTGATGTGAATTGCTGCACAAAGCGAACAAGCCGAATTCTGCGCGAAAAGAAGTGTCGGAGGAGTTTTGGTCATAGTCAACCCCGGTATAGCCAGCGTAGAACATCTAATTTGCGTAACTTTTGCTTTGAGCAAAGTAGTAATATTATATCTACTCGCTTATCCTATCTGTATCTGTCAAAATTTGGTGGAGGAACTTTATCACGATGAGTTTGTAAGCTCTTAGCCCTCAAAAAGCGCGCACCTTAAGAAAAGTGTTTCTGCTGTCTTTTGGAACAACAGTAAATTTTTTGTTAGAAATCTACCGTTCCGTCAGTTATGCCGTAGTGAAACCTTTTCCAATTCTATATTGAGATAAACTTAAGGAGGCACGATGGGTATCTGCTGAACCAAAGTGAGGTAATCGTCTTTGACCCAGCAATAGCGGAGAGAAAACAAACTTGCAAAAAATTAATCNTCACTTCCCGATACTACTGAGGCCGAATGTTTGGATCAGGATCTGTTCTCCGAATCGGAGTGCATCTGAGGCTGAAGTACCACTGTAAAGGTGAACCAGACAAAAGAAATTTCACACGGGCATTGTGCTGCAAACTGACAACACAATGAACTACACTTCATAGTTCATCAATTAGAAATGTATGTGTTGCGGAAGTAATCAGTCCATTTCAAATTCACTTTCTGAAACATATAAGGCGATTTCAGTACTTAGTAAGGTTGTACATGTCAGATGTAGTAATTTGTCTGAATCACAGTAGTTCTGATGAAAGATAATTCAACTGCCCATAATATTAGTACCGGCTCTGATTCCTGAATAAGATAGTCCCAGATATCTTATACGGACTAGAGTGTACCAAAGCGTTTTGGGAAGTGAACATAAGTAGAAAGTGTAATAGTAGTGTACAGTCCTGCAGCAATTCATCTCAGTATTTCTCTTTCCATCTTTCCCTCTACATATTCCGCTTACCCACAGGGGAACGAGCGCATGCTAAGCCGATGTTACGTATTCAGTTTAATGTGGTCCTTTGGTGCTCTATTGGAATTGGACGATCGTGCCAAACTGGAAGCATTCTGGCGTAATGAACTAAAGCTGGACTTGCCCGAAAAGTATGAGGCGAAAACCGATACGATATTTGAATATCGTGTGGATACCGAAGGTGATATGATTGTTACCTAATGGTTTTTAATTTTCCATGAACTACATGGAGTTAATCATTACCTTTATGTCTTCCAGGTAAATGGGTGCATTGGAAGCACTCAATTGAAGAATACACCTACCCGAAGGATCACACTCCCGAATTTGCGAGCATTCTGGTACCAAACGTGGACAACGTCCGAACTGACTACTTGATCGATTTGATTGCAAAGCAAGGCAAGGCGGTTTTGCTGATTGGTGAACCTGGTACCGCGAAAACAGTGATGATCAACAAGTACATGAGTAAATTCAATCCCGAAACACATGCTTCCAAGTCCGTCAGCTTCTCCTCAGCCACCACGCCCGCTTTATTCCAGGTCCGTTTTCTAAACAAAGTTCAATACTCTTTGAGACAAATTATTTAAGTATGAAAGCTAGACGATTTGTTTAAATAAACAGAGTAAATTCAACAAAGTAAAAAAGGACTGATCATTAGTTCAGAAACTATCTAGCTGCCTTGATGGAAGTACTCTGAAGATAGCATGGAGACAGCGCAGAAGTGTTTTACCTTATGCATTCATAAACGGTCAACTTCAAAATGGACACTCCACATTTACGGACACTTTCCTCATTTCCCATGAGTTTCTGGTGTAAATCGCCATAGGTATCAAGGAGATCACACATGCTCGGGCAGAGAGCTGTAAGCGTGGTCACGTGAGAACAAACTGCCACTTTGGAATTAACGCTGTGTTCTCAGTGCCGATTCGGGCGTCCACCACTCGCTAACCTGTGAAGTAGGGATGAGATTCGACTGCCGAGGTGGTAACTTAAGATGTCATTTTGAAGAAAAATTGCCCAGATGAGCTGCCGGATGTAGTGTTTGAACATAATTTAACCTCATAAAGAAGACAACTCACAAGGTTGCTGAAAACCCTTCGGCAGCCCACGACCGGTTTCGCCCTTCTTGGGACTCATCAGGTAGGCGCAGTCCCCGAGGTTCCGTCAACCTTATGTTCTACTTGAAACCAAATTGCACGAAATCAGCGAACTACACTCACTTGCAAACAGATTTGGTTTTGCGAGAGAGACTCACCTGGAACCTGGCTGAATCCCTCGTTTGTAATGTTTCCAGGCAAATGAATGTGATGCACCAGGCCGCCTCATGTTTCAGCTGCTACATGAGGCGGCCTTACATGAGGCGCCTATGTGCAGCACATTCAGTCGAAGAATATCATAAACGGTAGATCCAGTTGAGTCTCTCGTGAAAACCAAATTGATTTGCAAATGAGTGTATTTTTCGATAGTTTGATCTTCTTTGTCTTTGAATGGTGTACTTGAATAGATTCACCGATGTAGCTGCTGTCAATACGCTGTGTGGACGCGTTCACAAGACTTAGTTGCCGTGTTAATTTAATGTCTGCGGTCACACCTTTCATTTGACCCTTTCGAGCAGTAGCGCAAGTAGTGCAAATAGTCTGGGAAATCGCCGTTTTTCGTACAAGCTACAGCGAAAGCAACATGAACGTCGTGTTATGCAAGCCTTCTGGAGTCTTTGGCATAAATAGAGCTTGAGAACGTCTTGCATAATAATTTCTCACATTTCGTTCACCACATCGAAAAAAGTAGGAATTACTGCTTCAGTTCCTCACGTCCAAAAGCAGGCTGATTCACTCGATTGACTTTTCATGTTCGGCCCACCACACCAGTCAAAGCATTAATTCGCCATCGGTCCATCCAAGACCATTGCATTACCGGCCGCAGATGAACGACAGCGGCAGACGTGTGCACCAGAGGGGTATTCAAAGCCTACTGTTGCTCACACACCCAAAGACATCTGGATTTTCCACTTGGAATATAAACTTGAGATCGTTATTTTGACCTTAGTTCTATGTAAAAAAAAGATCGTCCGCTTGCTTTCATCCCTGGTTTCCTTCACCTGGTGAACGCATCGCTGAGTAGTGGTGAATGTTGGTTGTGTGATTGCTGTGATGGACCGAACTAGACAAGGGAGATAAATTGCAACTACTCTTCTCTGGAGAGACTACCCGTAGGGATACCATCGTCATGGATATTATTCCCAAAGTGATACTTCTGTCTGGTGCCCTGATCTTTCTACTAGATTTTGGAACTTTGAAGAAACTAACTCTCAGCTCTGTCTCTGAACTAAATTTCTGGGCAAAATTTTGACCAAAATCAACTCACTCATCCGACGTGCAACCAAGACAGAGCAACGTGACTGCTAGTGAATAACCAAACTTCTTTCTAACCAACTAGCAGTCGATCTCTTCGGCGGATTTGCTAAATAACAAACAACAGACTTTGAATTTAACCGATGTTATGTCGGGCAAAATATAGTTGAAGTTTAAAAGATTTAGTGAGTTTTCATTCTGAAATGTTCTTGACGTGTATGTAAAATTTCAACTTTATCCCTTGTGGTCTGCGAACGCAAGGAAGCAACGAGACGAAGTAGTATCAAGGTGACTAATTCTGGTCGCACTTGACTACATTTGAGATCTGCCAGCTCCAGGTTGTACTTTTTCGGCGAAATCGCATATAATTTCTCCATCTAGTTGGAATCAGCTTTTGCCGTCAATCAATCCTCCTCACGTAATCGCTAAAATGGGCCCGGCGAACAAATGAGTAGAAGCTTTAAATGGATATGAATGCAAGGACGCAGCGGGACTAAGTAGTATCAAGGTGACCAACTCTGACCGTACTTGACCGCATTTGAGAAACGGTATCTGCCAGATTCATGTTCTTTTTTTCAGCGGATCTCAGATGGTTCCTCCAATCGCTCGATTCAGTCGGAATCAGCTCTTACCGTCAATCAATCTTCCTCACGCAATCACTAAAATCGTCCTGGAGAGCAGCTGAGTAGAAGCTATAAACGGATATGATATCAGATCCAATTCATCCTGCAGAAAGTCCAGGATAGTTAGAATGTCTGTTGTGCATCACTACTCATGCCGTTCCCCTCTGTCAAGAAAGCCCAGCCTTCATGCTGTGGATATTCCGTAAAGCCAAATTTCTCTAACCATCTTTGTATGGCCAGGCTTGAAGCCGGATAACAGTAGCTGGCCAGATACGTGTACCTAGGACACGTCTCATGTTGGTTCAGACCATCAGCTATTCGCTTTTGCGTGTGCTCCGAGTACCAATCGCTTAATCGTTTCCACCCACCGAACCTAAGGGAGTCATAAGTGGTTCCCCACGAATGGGTTATGGTTTGGTTGCCAGGTCAAATGCTGCTCTTCACTGTTATCTCAAGTCTTCCTCACATAAGTTGTGTTATATCACAATCTATTGTTTTGGATTGTGGCCAAGTGTTTCCCACTATATTCTGTTTACGCGTATTTCGAGTATCAGTCTGCGAGAGATCCGCACTGACACTCCGGACATTCAGAAATCTTAAGCCTACAGCGGTGCTAGTGGTGATTCTGTGACCATCCAGCCGAATGATGGCTAGCGCTGGTTAGCCATATGTGTCTGTTTAGGATGTGTCTCTTGAGTGGCGCGGGCCATCAGGTTCCCCTTTATCTGCTCCACAGTTCAGTCGTGTCCGCTCGAATTGACAGTCGTGGGTTGCCAGTTAAACATGTTGGTGACTTTGGAACTGTCTACTTCTGTTCACCCTACAGTTTCATTCCCTCGAGCATACATTGGTTACGGTGCGTTCATTTGGATGCACGTGTGACCCAGTGCAAGTACTATGTGATACTCTTGCCGCCTCACCTTAGTCCCCGTTTATCGATACCACACAGAAGCCTTTCCATAACTTTAGATTTGACTCACTCTATGGGAAGGGCGTGCGCTTCTGAACAGGACCTTGGTTAGTAACAAAATTATCGACCGGATATCCTATGCATCAACACTAGTGCCAGTTCATTGTTCCCCTCTAATTTTGACCCGATACTCTCTGCTTGCCTCTGAATGAATAGTGATAGTGACTCTCCTCTGATAGCTTATAGTCTATTAGCCCAATAGGACACCGATATCCAACGAAAGCTAAGTCTAAATGATACTGGAAAAAAGACTGCAGCAATGTGGATCTATGGAGAAATACGCTCATTTGCAAATCGATTTGGTTTTCACCCAATTTAATCTCTCGTTTATGATATTCTACAACTGAATGTACTGCACACAGGCCGTCTCATGTTTCAGTTGGCACGATATTCTAGATGTCGCAGTATATTTTCATAAAGGAAACTATTCACTCTTCGATGAAGAGTTTTTCAGCAACCTTGTGAGTAGTTTCCTTTATGAAAATAGACCTATGTCACAACGAACCACTAAGGGTGTGTTCCCTTCATGTGTTTTGTTTGTTACCCTCAATCACTTTGACAATCTCTCACGCGATTTTAGTTGTTTTGGAGGTAATCCAAATGCGAACCATTCCATATTCCATATGAGTTCCGAAATACACATGGTATCATCAGGTTCAAACCGATGGAAGCCCAGTTGATCCCTTTTGTGTGTCAACGGTGATCAGCGGTTATTTTTACCTCCTTTCTGACTACTCGTGAGTAGCATGGTTTGCGCCTATTCGTTTTAACACGTTCAGCCTCATTGCCGCTCGTTCTCCGGGTCTCTCCTCTCACTTATGGTTCATCTTGTGCCCTACTCGATAGTCTTTTTTCTTGGGATTTTGTTTCGAACGGGCCTGAAGGCGCCTTCCGATTCGACACGCGGCACGATATGCTGCGTCGCACCTTCAGCCAAGTACTGCAGTCTCCCTCCCAAACGTGCTGACTGTCGTCTCCGCCGTTATGGCTGAATACGGCCTATTTGCACGGTCTGATGGCCCGTGCCCGCACGTTTGTTTATCATTCTGTACTTACTCTCTATTGCTCCCAGAAAACCCTTCTGACTATGTCCCTTTTTCTGATCCTACCGATTGCGCTATTATTGACTGTACGTTCTTAATAAATGAATCAGAATCATCAAAATCAGTTATTAATGCAGCCTCTACTTCTCTCATCCCTCTGTTCCTGCTGCCCACTGAATACGAAATGCGTATAGTCAGATAGCTCCAGTCGTCCTGTAGTACTCTTGGCTTCCCGAATCTTACAGTCCCTAACAGCTTTACAGTATTTGAACTGTGGGATTTAAGTCCATCGATTCCTGAACCATTTCCTAGCTTACTTCACCCTTCAGATTTCATGCTGTCTTTGGATGCACATAATTCACTTACCCCAGGATTTAACCCATGCAGTTTAGGGCACCTTGTGAATAAGGAAATCAACTTAAACCAGTGGTCAGACTGATAAACCTTATATTATTGCTCTAAATTTGCAGCGAACGATCGAAAGTTTCGTAGAAAAGCGGGTTGGCACAACCTACGGTCCACCGGCTGGGAAAAAGATGACGGTTTTCATCGATGATATCAATATGCCAAAGATCAACGAATGGGGTGACCAAATTGCAAATGAAATTGTACGCCAAACTATGGAAATGAATGGGTTCTACAGTCTTGAGAAGCCTGGTGAATTCACCAATATTGTCGATATCCAGGTAAGCTTTGTATTGCCTACGTACAGTGCTCAATAGAGGCGTTTGTGAACCGATTCATTATGAGGTTCGTTTTAACACTTATCGAGTAATAAACATATGTTTTCATCTAAACCGTTGTCCCAACTATATGCTCAAATTCCTAATAGTTTAGAAACAGTTAGTGGCTTGCCCAAACCCAAAATTAAAACCATTCAGAATTAACGAATAACCCTTTCTAACCAAGTAATGACATGCTGTCATACTTCTGGGCCTTGAAATTGGTAAAACCAATATATATGAAACATGACCGTAAATTGTTTTCAGGGGAAAAGGTTATGTCTCTAGAAATGGGAAATTTCCCAGAATTTCCTAAACTTCCGTTATTACCGTCCTTTCTTAGGAGGGGATACCAAACACAAACCCTAATTCGATAACTTTTTTGAAAGTCGAGGTGCTGCAATGCCACCACATCGAATTTCCGCTAGGTTGGATGAAAGTCAATGAGCAAATTCGTAATCACATTGTTTTTGGTGTTAGTGTCTTACTCATGTCCCTCACCACACAAATTTTTCGTCCTTTTGAAAGGTGTCTTATGATTCCACATGTGGCTCGGTGATGATTCCTGAAAACGCTTGTCTCCTCCCTCTTATACGACTACAACTGTAGGTCACCAAATTTTGTGTCCCTCACTAGCATGTATGAAGAAAATGCGCCCCTCTATTCATAGTGTCATTTTCCACCCGACTGTGGTAGCTGAGCAACGTAGAGAATCATCCAACCGGTGAAATTGTTGTTACCTAGTGCGCTCAGTACTTAAGGATCCAGTTATCTAAAGATACCTGCATTCACCTCATTGAGTAGCACACATTTTTTAGCCTAACCAGTTTACTTTTCATTGGTGCTTTCAAGTTCCTGGCAGCCATGAACCATCCAGGAGGTGGACGTAATGATATTCCCGAACGGTTGAAACGACAGTTTTGCACCTTCAACTGCACTTTACCCAGTGATACTTCAATCGACACTATCTTCAGCGTGATTGGAACCGGGCACTATTGTGAAGAACGTGGTTTCTCACCAGATGTTATACAGTTGGTGGAAAAACTTGTTCCGCTCACCCGGGTCATATGGCAACATACGAAGAATCGGCTCTTGCCGACACCAGCCAAGTTTCACTACATTTTCAACTTGCGTGATCTAAGTCGCGTGTGGCAAGGCATGCTCAATACGATAAGTGAGGTAACTGAATGTTCGCATCACTCTGATTTCCTATTGTGAACGATAGAAAAAACACCTTTTGTTTCCTATAAACAACAGAACAAAGACGCACACAAGACCGTATCTTTAGCTCCACCAACAACCTGATTTTCAGTTCAATGAGCGCTAATCAATAAACATTGACTACGTAATCACGCTGAAGCGACCGACATCCAGTTCAGTGAAAAAGGTCCAAAACTGGGATTTTTCCCATATTTGAAACACGCTTACTGTGGTTTCCAAATAAATTCTTCTGGGCTCAAAAGTTAGGCTTGTTTGTGACCAGTACTGGTGAGCAGCTGAATGGAGCAACATGACGTGATCTTTTCACTCTTCACGTATTCTCTGACGAGGAACCGCTTGCTATGATGTCTATCAAATTTGAGAAGTGTCACCTCGAAACCTAGGGCGAGGACACATTTGCCTTTTGCAATCTATGGTGGGCGAAACGACGGTTCGAGGCAAACATAAAAGTTTCCTCCTATGGACGACTGTCTGATACGTCATTGGTTGAAAAGCTAGTCAGCTCCATTCCACATCGTTTGGACAGGGCGACTCTAGGACGATGTTTCTCCCTAGGTGTAGAATAATCTCACTGTGCCACCTGTACTGAATAGGGAAGTCGTCTAGTATCTACCCGCAGGGTCATTGATCCGATTCCTCCGATGATTTCATGAGGTAAACATTTCGGCTTGAGTCAGAGATGAAGCTGCAGGGGCCTTGTACATAAGTCGTCTGTAAGGTAGAACTACAGATTGCGTAAGTATCCTTTAGCTGTATCACAGTGTGCATCACGACTTTCGTACTGAGTGAAAACAAGCCAAGAGGCTCGGGAAAACATGCAGATCCAACTTTGTTCGCACCTGAAAGTTTTGTCTTGTCATCAGGAATGAAAGGCGAAAATCGTCAAATGCATTCAGAAAACTAACCGATGAGGTAGACACCACAATGCTGTTCAATTGCCCGTCTTCCAGGTTCACGGTATATAGTTTTATTTCCATTAGGCTAACAGAAGATGTCAGGCTGTCCGATTTCCAGTAAACCCTTTCAAAAGGTGCTCCAACCTTGTAACTCTCAAATGGAAATTAACTGAAGAAGTGCGATTTCGGCGCATTCTGAGGTCACACGGTTTTCTGTGGGTAACACTGTAAGCAAAAGGGCCTCTGATGAACTTTCGTTTTATTCGTAATCTGTTTACCTTTTTCACCTACCGATTAGGTTGCGGAAGCCTTAGACCCATTGAGTACTCCTGCTTGATAGATTTAATGCTAGTACATATCGCGTATCCAACCACTGAACTTGTGTAATATTTCTAGTAGAGAACACACCAGATTTCGCTTTAACACACTCTCTTCTCTGTTACGAAGGTTATCATTGATGACAGTGTGCTTCTGATGCTTTGGAAACATGAACTGCTCCGAGTAATAGCCGATCGATTCATATCACCAAGCGACACGCAATGGTTTGAAAAATACATCAGTTTGCTGGCAGCTGAAATACTATCGGAGGAGCAGCTTGCACACTTACAGACCGAATCTTATTTCGTTGACTTCATGCGGTAAGCCCAGTTGAATTTTTGGTGCTAATTGCAAACTGAGCCACCGCTTAACATGTTCTGTATCTTCGCAGTAATGTCTAAGGTGACTGTAACGGGTGAACGGTATCTTCGAGTGACGTGTAATACCAGAACCTCCGGAAAGGCAAAACAAAGTCGGAGCTGGGTTTCTACACGGTACTATTAATGTAAGACAAATTCACAAATTCTACAAACCTCAACAGTAGATACTTGTTCATAACAAATGGTCCACCTGGACCACAAAAGTACAGGCCAAAGGAGCAAACAGGCCCTCACGTGAGACAGTCACACGTACACAAAGTCGGCCACAAATGGCCGGATGACCTCAAGGCCAAATGAGTGAAGTGGTAAGGACAAACAGAAGCCAGTTCATGTGTACGCACAAAAGTGGGGCGGGGGTTACAAGTGGGGAAAGAATAAACGTGAGGAATTCCAAGTATCAACGTAATGGACGATACAGTGACTACATTTGGTCTTCCTGGGAATGAATTTTTCCGCTTTTTCCGCTCTTCCGGTCCAACCGACCAGACGTTTGGCACAATCGATACAGGTTAGGCTGTCTCGATTTATGTTTTTCTGTCAACTGAATGAATTAGGGTGGAAGGACAGCAGTATGGGCTTATGGGTGACATCATTATTTGTATTCACAATACTCCTCTTAGTAGCCTTCTCCCGTCCCGGGGTAATTAGCCTAGTTATTCTGCCTCAAATGGGAGGCGACGAACTCGAATACGCTCGTATTAGAGCTCGACAACTTGTTAGTGCTCCATTTGTGACGTAATTAAGTTGATTATCAGGAGGCAACAAGCACTAACAAATGTCTGCCTTACTAGAATGTGATGAATACAATAGTTAGGTGCACTTGATAAAAATAGATACAATGCGAAAAGTGGAATAAGCCGAAAGGTGTCTTCTCTGCAGTATAGCTGCTACACGTGTGCCCTAGCTGGCCGTGGAGACTTGCGGAACTCTGTTGACTTCCTGTCCTGTGCGCGCGAGTGTGTGCTGAGCCTAGTTGTATGCATATTTATTGTGTGCAGTGTGAAGAGAGGACTGTCCCTTTGTGTTTGATGCTTGCACGAACATGAATACAACTTGACCTGATGGGTTGAAGTTCATAAGCCTGGCGCGTTACGCAAGTGGTAGCCGCGTAAACAAAAATGGATGAGAAATTGTAGTGTACAAATTGTCGGCTAAGGTTGCAAGTGGGACAGGAATTGCAAGTGGTTTGAGTGTTTGTGTCGCGTGATATGATGAGTGACCTCTACAAACTCAACAAATTCGGGACCACACCGACAGTGGAACTCTGGATATCTAACGCAAGTGTGTCATCGCTTAATCACAAGCATTCCATGAATGAAACTGAGGTAACACGTCCGAAAAAGCAAGCATTTCCGAACCCTCGACAATGTGATTTGTTTGCCTGATGCCTTGAACGATAACTCAGTATCCGTCCTGTTTTTTTCAGTCGACTGACCCGCCTGCCAGAACTCCTCAATCCGGTGGCGCAATGGAGACTTGTCTGATTGCACGCTAAAATTTTTGAAATTTATTTTGCATCCACACTGATTTTGTTGGATCAATCCACCCCTCTTTAGTTTTGGTGCGGTATTCTCTTTGGTCCACATGTCCGGGAAATGAATAAACTCTAGATTCGCACTGACTACAGTCCATCAGCGGTGCCTTCCCTTGGATGCCTGGGATTTGAAATCTTGAATTTCGATATGTAAAGCCAGCGTGCTACGACATGTATTGCCGGTCCTGTTTTGCACACAGCTAACGGTGTTCATGTTCTAACCAACAACGAATGATATACCATATAGTTTTGGGATAACCTATCTCCCAGTACGCGAAGCACAGGGGCCACTCTTGTCTAATTTGTACGACGCAACCATAGTGCTTCCTTTGACTACTTTGGTATGGTTACATCCGTTGTTTGCAGTTGTATAGAGCTGTCCTACAATGAAGGACAACCGTGGGAGAAATTTACGCTTACAGAATGATTGGTATCGTATGTTGATACAATTTCAGCTGTTGAATAATCATTATCATGTATGACAAGATTTGATCAATTGTATTTACACGAAACAAGAAATCTTTTGTCAAACACTTCCCCGGGAATCGATGTGCCCTTTCGTCACCCATGGTTCTGCTACCTTTTTCATAGTATTCGTGAAACCGACATGTTCCAGATTACCGAATGTGAAAAGAACATCCATAGTTGGTTCCTCGAAAACTCGTGAATGAAATTAGACTTGTGATTTTTTCAGTCGTATCAATTCTAAACAACTTTCAGATTATTAGGACTTTTTCATTGGTGAGCATTGTGGTTCTTCTGTTTGTGGATTTCCTCAATCGACCGATTCAATGCGCCGCAACAATACTGTTTACAAAGGAGCATCGCGATAATAACGCAACCACAGTTAACAATCCGTCCTACAGCTAAAACCCTACCAGACAACAAAGAGGTGCTAACCGAACTCGCTCCTACTTCATGATCCTCACGACAGTCTCATTTTCTTTAGGGGTTGTACTTGCCAAACTCTTTTCCATACTGAAACATGATGAAAAAAGAATAGCAGTATGGACTTTTGTTTAGGGAGGTGGAACTGTTGCACATCACGAGCATCTTTTTGTTGCTTTTAGGGATGCTCCAGAGTTAACGGGGGAAGAACCGGAGGACTTCGATATTTCGGCCCCCAAAATATATGAACCAGTAAGTATGCACCTTTGTGAGTTTTGCAGGCTATTGTGCCATAAATCCACATAATTGTCCTATTTACACAGGCTTGGTCACTGACGACCAATCGGCCAAAAATCCACTGGTATCGATCCGTTAAACGTCTTTGCAGGCGGCTTTTCGACTGATTTGCTTCGGTAACTACCCAGTCTAACGATATAATTTGGCCATAGACAGTCAAAAGCATGTAGATGTTTGTGGCGTTTCACGGTGTGCCATCTATACACCGGTTCGGGGCGAGATGGCTCAACTGGTTAGAGTACAAATTTACTGACGGAAAGGTCCGTGGTTCGAAACTAACCTCTGCCTTTCGGCTTCCCCTGTCTGGGCTCGGGCAACCTATCAGCATCGAAGCCCTCGTGCTTCCTTCCGGTGGCATAGCAGCTAGTCACCGGAAGGGTGTTACAGCTGGACTATTATCAATTTATTACACCGGGTACCAATGTACAGCATGTTCGTCTACCGCAGTCATACCTTAGCCGATGATGAAGAAAATTGGATTGAGGGCAGCCTAGTTTTGCAGTCAAAAACTTGCATCCGTTCAGTGTGGAAAATAGTAGTGAAACATCGTATCTCCGGCTCCCACAGACAATCATCACGATATGAGTGAAAGAAATGAATGAAGAATCCTCATCGATTTCACACACACATTCCCACAGCGATGTGATTGAAGGGTGCGGTTGTGGATGCTCTCTTTACTTGGGCCAGCACAGCCAGTGACTCTGGCCAGTCTCTGGCAACCACTTCTTTCGTACCTTTGGTCGTTGAGGCCATACTCATTACATGAGTCTGAAAGTCATTTCGGGGTCCGTATGGTGACAGTGTCCACTAGCTGTTTGAATATGAATGCAGGGGTTGTTTTAGACGCTTCTTTAGCTGCGCTTTCAGAGCGATACGTTTAAAGTTAAAAGGGTAAAACACTAATGGAATAAGATGTTGCAATCCGGCGTTTCGGTTGTCATGGTAAACATTCTTCAAGGATTTTTTCACTCAGTTGAATACGGGTCAGTCTTACTTGGGTCTTCTATCATATCGTCTGATTGGTNGAATATGAACGTAGAGGTTGTTTTAGACGCTTCTTTAGCTGCGCTTTCAGAGCGATATGTTTAAAGTTAAAAGGGTAAAACACTAATGGAATAAGATGTAATCCGGCGTCTCGGTTGTCATGGTTAACATTCTTCAAGGATTTTTTCACTCAATTGAATACGGGTCAGTCCTACTTGGGTCTTCTATCATATCGTCTGATTGGTGTATTCCTGAGATCAGCTGGCAGTTGGATGTGACCAATGTTTGGGGGTGTTGTCTTTGTGTGCGTGTACATGTGGTTTTGCATGTAGTTTGGCTGGGATGTACCTCCGTTTGTTGAGATGCGTAGTTGTCGAGATTCCTGCTTTGACCTTTAGACATTGTCTATTAAGGTGTGCAGTAAGTCCAAGCCAGTTAGACAGGATTATGGCTCTACCACTGCATTTCCGTTGTTCGTTGATCTGTGCTTCAGCGCATATCCGTTCCGTGTGTGACTTGATTCCCAACTGGGGCATACTTCTTTCATTACATTTCATTTGGTGATATGATGTGAAAGTTGTTTTTTTTCGCGTTCGAATCACGTAATCTAGTCCTCAGGGGGTCGAGAAACAGGGAAGACAATAACGAAGTTAGTTACATTGGTTTTCATCTTTGAAACTTGTCATGCATGGGAAGGGCGATAAATTATGACGTGTTGCTTTTGTGTCTGTGTCTCGGGGCAATGCGTCCCGTCGGGTTAAAATTTCTGCCGCATTCGTCACAATAACCTGAAGCCGAATAACCATCTCTCTTCACATCGTTCAGGCCAATCTTCATCATCAGGAGGATACAGTTCGGTACACAGCTGACACTGCATAGAATTTTGCACTGAGTACTCCAACTGAGTAGTATTTTCACTGGACCACGGTAGCCGAATTTTCTCACATTTTGACGAAGTTACAGTAACTAGCACATCCGAATTTAGTGTTTGATAGAGAGATTCTTGTGTTGTATTTGGTTTCGTATCTGGTCCCAGTTCCACGCGACTGCTGACGCCTTTTCCAAACTTATTTTGGACCTACCGGTATGCACCAAGTCTTGAGTATGAAGCGGGATTACTCTGTCGCTAACACTCGGTCTTCAACGTTTTGATTGTCCTTTCCGTCAGTCGATATAAAACATCTGTGCTCAGAATGCTGCCTGTGATTTTACCGACTGGTTTACCAGTTAAACGTGCATTCACTCCCCCTGTCATCAGTTGTTCCGCAATACAGGCAACACCGACCAGACACCTCGTGAGAGCAAACCACATTAAATATGATTGTCTCACTTTTGCTGTACGCATGCAGAGTCAAGTTAACCCGCGGATCTGGAGAATGCAAAAATATCGCTTCGAGTTCCGTGACTTCGTCGCACAGTTTACGGATGGGCTGTCTTGCTTGAAAGTAGCCAATTGCTGAGCATGATAAGCTTACATAAAATCACTCTATCATGAATGATTCATGAACATCTTTCAAGACGACACATCAGACCCGTGTGCAAACTATATCGGTTGACATCCGAGACAAACTTGCCTGGCAGCAATATCTGGATCATCGGATGCATGTGCGTAGTACTGAGACGTAGTGCCTGGAGCCGGATGTGCTTTTGCGGGTGAACTACTGAATATGAGGTAAACCCCAAGGAATAAGATTGGCGCGAAAAATGGAAGAGGACAGTTGACATCGATCAGCCAGTTCAGTAGCTGATGTTGACAGCTGCTTCAAATGATCAAAACACAAAAATCTCCCGTCGTTTTATTTGGTTGACTTTGAATTATTGTGCTACTCTGTTTCACGAATGAGTGGGGAGTTGTTAGTTAATCCAATGTTCATAAGTAAAGCAGCCGTACAAAATCAGTGTATTTTAGGGGACCTGCGATCTAAACACGCTGATAAGATATCATGAAGGGTATGCCCAAAGACAGTAACGTCCAGCCACAAAAAATGTACTGTTTCTTTCGTTCTGCGCTCCTCAACAGGTTGAAAGTATCGATGTACTTCGGGAAAGACTACTAATGTTCATGGCCAGTATGAATGAAAACATCCGCGGCGCCAATATGGACTTGGTGTTTTTCAAGGACGCCATCACACATTTGGTGAAAATCTCACGAGTGATTCGATCCCCAAGGGGTAATGCTTTGCTTGTTGGTGTGGGTGGTTCCGGTAAAAGGTCGCTAACCCGCCTCGCCTCCTATATCGCGGACTATCGAGTATTCCAGATTGTGCTGACCAGGTAAGCTCAGTTGATATGATGTTTTCAAATGGGAATGGTCCATCGTCTGAGTATCACTTTAGAACCAATAGACGATATAACTCTTCAAACTCTTGCTATCGCGGTGAATTTATTTCCTCTAGGTCATACAACGTGTCCAATCTACTTGAGGATTTAAAGAATCTTTACCGGACAGCTGGCATGGAGGGCAAAGGTGTAACCTTCATTTTCACCGATTCTGATGTCAAAGATGAAGGATTTCTCGAGTACATAAACAATATTTTGGCTTCTGGAATGGTAAGTTATTTTTAGCCACAGATGATATGAAGTCGGTCAAACGGTTTGTGTGCTTTGCACCTATCGAGGATTCTCAAGAAGGAACCGTGTGGACTGTGATACCTTGAAGTATAAATTTTAACCATCCAAAGACGTCCCTTCTGTGGAACGTGAAAAGAAAGCCAAAACCGAGGCGACAAAGTTACTGCAACAGAAAGGTGCCCCGTGTCTGCTTACTGCGACCTAGGCTGACCATGTCTATCGTACTGTCTTTGTATGGATGGGTTTTTGATAGGTAAGATAATTAATCGATGAAATAAGTGTTTAAGAGTCAGCTTCCATCCTCGAACTGCAGCTGCAACATGAAATGTACAAAATCGCGCTTAGACAGCATATAGAACCAATTACGGGATCCACATCACGTGGTCACGTGGTTTCGTGATTGAAGGTTGAGCGGCGCTAAGTGCGATTTAATCGCACCGCTGATTAGCCGCTCGTGGCCGAACGGTTGTGTTCAAACCACTAACCGCAAGGTCGCGGGTTTGTGACTCTCTGGGGTTTCGTGAGATGCGTGCTAGTGATGACTGTCGATAAGGATGAAACAGCTGTACAGTGCTTCTCTGCCTTCCAGCATAGGTTGCCTTCACTCACAGGACGAAATCACCAAAATTCCCAAATTCCCTTGCATAAGTTGTGTCAGTTCACTGGAATGATGCACGGTCTTCCCGAATGAGTATTGAAAAGCACAAAATCACCAGTTTTAGAAGTATCGGTCAGTCCTCAACGCCCACAATCGATTTCTTCAGTTTCTTCGCGGGGTTCATGCATTGACTGAGTCAGGGAAACGCCTTATTTGGTAAGGTCTCAATTCTACCGTACAACACTGGTAGGTGAAAAGGCAAAATAACGGCCACACTATGAATACTCAAGGTCCAAAAGCTAACACACTGGTATTTTTTAGATTTGAAATCCCGTCAGGCTTAATAACGAAGAATGGCATGAGAATAAGTGAGGGACTCAGCTGGGATTCATTTCAGTCTCTTGTTAAAACCGGATTAGTTTATGAATGAGTGTACATAATCGTTTGTCTATCATCTGTTGTTAAAACAGAACATGAAGTTATTGTAGTCTTGGGGACCATGCTTTCCTGATGAGCCGCAACAGAGGCGAAACCGGGGCTAATGTAGTCCTGGGGACTATGCTTTCCTGATGAGACGCAACAGAGGCGAGACCGGTAGTGGGTTTTCGAAGGGTTTTCAGAAGCCCTATAAGTAGTATGATGCCAGAAATGTACATCCATCCACAACAGTTGGTCGATGTCTTCCCACTGGATCACCGACAGTAGTCGAAAAACTCATTTTATTACTTGAGCAGTTTGGAAATTGATGCGCGCTCACAAATAAGTTACCTCCAAACTAGCAAAAGTGAATTCCTTTGATACACTTAAACAAGGAGCTGTGATTCCTGACCAGCTAAACCATAACACGATTTGATAGTTAGGACTGCCCCTGTAAGTTATCAGGAGGAAAGTAAACGGACTGATATACAATGATGAGGCTACTGTGTACTGAATATCCTCTTGACATTCTAATGACAAAACTACTTATTAGGCCGGAAAATCTTCGGATGTAAACGGGAGACTAGGCAGGCATCTAGTTGAATCTCCGTTGATACAAAGTCAATTCTTAAATAAAATTGTCTTTTCTGCGCTGTTCGTTCATACAAGCTGCTTGATGAATGTTACGATATCCATTTTACTGTCTGACACTTCTTCCCTTTTCCCGCAACTAGATATCCGGCTTATTCGCACGCGACGAAATGGATGAGGTCCTTGCTGCACTGGTACCGATAATGAAGAAAGAATTTCCGAAACGTCCTCCGGAAAATGAAATCCTCAACGAATACTTCATGTTCCGTGTGCGCAAGAACCTGCATGTCGTTCTGTGCTTCTCTCCTGTCGGTGAGAAATTCCGACAGCGGGCGCTGTACTTCCCTGGATTGATTTCTGGTTGTACAATCGACTGGTTCCAACGCTGGCCACAGGATGCATTGCTGGCTGTGGCACAACACTTTCTGGGTGATTACGAAATGGCCTGTAGTCCGAACACTCGCAACGCCCTGATCACCCTAATTGCCGATGTGCACGATGACGTGACTGCACGTTGTGCAGCCTATTTCGAGCGTTATCGTCGTACCGCTAACGTAACACCAAAATCGTACATTTCTTTCATTCATGGTTACAAGAAAGTCTACCACGAACAGGTGGAGCAAGTAAACACGCACATTTCTCGACTGGGTTCAGGGCTGCAGAAACTGATGGAGGCTCAGGAATCGATTTCAAAACTAAGTGTGGAATTATCAAACAAGGAAAAGGAGCTGGAAGTTGCTAACCGTGAAGCCGAAGCTGTCCTGGTAAACGTGACACAACAAACGCAGGCCGCCGAACAGGTAAAAAATAAGGTTTTAACGGTGAAAGACAAGTGTCTGGCCATTGTTGAACACATAAGGAAAGAAAGGGCCGTAGCCGAAGACAAACTGGAAGCAGCTCGTCCAGCATTAGAAGAGGCAGAAGAGGCACTTAACACGATCAAACCGGGCGATATATCCACGGTGCGAAAGTTAGCCAAGCCTCCTCACTTGATCCAACGTATTATGGACTGTGTTCTTTTGTTGTTCAAACGAAAAGTTGATCCTGTCAAAAAAGATCCCGAGCGACCGGGTTCCATCAAAACGTCATGGACCGAGGCACTCAAACTGATGGCAGCCAGCACATTCCTAAACAATTTACTATACTTTCCACGTGATTTAATCAATGAAGAAACAGTGGATTTGATCCAACCCTATCTGGAACAAGAAGATTATAATCTGGAAGCAGCCAAAAAGGTTTGTGGCAACGTCGCCGGTTTGTGTTCCTGGACCTTGGCTATGGAAAAGTTTTACTGGGTGAACAAAGAAGTTATTCCACTGAAAGACAACTTGGCGAAAATGGAAAGTAAACTGAACTTAGCCAACAAAGATCTGGCACAAGCAGAAACTCTTCTGGCTGAGAAGGAGGCTCTGCTCAACACAGTTCGCGAACAATACGAGGCTGCGATGCGTCGCAAACAGGAGTTGGCCGATGATGCAGACACATGTAGGCGTAGGATGACCACAGCCACTATGCTGATTGAGGGTCTTTCCGGTGAAAAGGTTCGTTGGAGTGAAGAAACGTTGGCTTTGAAGGAGCAGGTTAATCGCTTGATAGGCGATGCACTCATTGGAACGGCGTTCCTTTCGTACAGCGGACCGTTTAACCAAGACTTCCGAAATCGTCTTATGGGGAACTGGTACAAAGAACTAAATGGTCGTCAAATACCTCACACAGTCAATTTGGATCTAATCAATATGCTTACTGAAGGACCTGTGGTAAGTGAGGTTACTTTTACGATGATGGCCTAAAATTTAATAATACAAGAATGGAAAGATTACAGGCGAATACCCAGTGTTAATTCCACTCAGGTACAATGAATGGCACATTAAGTGGGTGGTTCGAATGGGTTTCATGAATCGACTGAATACCATAAAATATTTCCCCCTCCATCTTGTGTTTTCGTTAACTCATAATGATAAACCAAGAACACCTTATTCCATTTCAAGGTAGTTTTGAACTGTTCGCAAGCTGCTCATCAACAGTAAAGGTCATGTTCTATAATTGAAGGATGACACGAACGTCTATTGGATCTGTCTGGTCAGGCTGAGTCCGTTGACCCCACATATGCCTTAATTAATTTAAGTCAGCATTGCTAATCATCAACTACCCCGTGCATTTCACATTGTAATTACCATGAAGGTACCTGCGTCCGATGTTTGGGTAGCATTGTGTTCCTACACTGGAAGCTGAATGGTCATACTGATCGTTCTGGTCAGTTTCTGACGAGGGATATCAAGATCGAATAATGCACACGGCTATCAGAGTGAAAGTCATCACACACGGAAAAGTCCCAGAACCGTATATCTACAAACTGGTTGTTGGCCAGATGCCTGTTGATCTGTTCAATGAGCTTGGCAATCGGCTTGCAATAAGCTGGCAGTTGGTTTCGCTAGAAACTGAGACGGTATCAGTGCGCGCACCATCAGTCAAGCACTGATTGGTGACTGAAATTCTGCAAGCCAGTTGCCAAGCTCGGAAGACGGATCAACAGCTACCTGATCAACAGCCGATAAATTCTCCCGATCTACTAATACTTCAGCATACATGGAGTATACAGAGCATAAACGGAATAAATGCGATGTTTTCTACTTTTCATTGCCGTCCTGAATTACTTAAACGCCAATGTGAAACACAATAGTTAGAAGCAAGGCTATTTTGAGCTTTTGAGTCTCTTAAATACGGGAACTGACAATATCGTACTAAACGACAGCACAACTATGGGAACACTCAACTCGTCCGTTCGTCTAATACAACCCGACTTAGATGAAGTTGTGTCAGGCTGTGGAGGATTTCACAATTAGTTCACAACCTTTAGTCAGAGTTACCAGGGTGACTAGCTTTTCGAATTTGCATTGATGAAAACTCGAGAAAACTTCATCTTGCTCCAGTTGTGGCTAACTGTTCCTGTTCGCGAGTCGGCATGCGAATGAACACCGCTGGAACGAAAATTGACCCATAGGCCTTAGATTTGTAAACAACACAAGTGTTTATCGTTGATGATGTCTTTCGACCGGTAGTTTCGTAAGATATATCTTCCTTGTTTTTGGACGGTCATCTCCTTAATCTTACACCAGTCTTGTTCGCCAAACGAACCGTTTTTGGCGTTCTATTGTAGGTGAGTGAATGGAATTTGGAGGGCTTGCCCAGTGACGATCTATCCGTGCAGAATGCCATTATTGTTACGCAAGCTTCACGATACCCTCTACTTATCGACCCTCAGTCACAGGGTAAGAACTGGATCAAACGTCACGAGATGGCCAACGATCTGATGGTAAGCAATCGTTATTTTTAATCACTCTGGAACTTACGTACCTGCATTTTTACCTCTTTCCTTTTTCTCTTCGGCGAGATTAAAGCGTATCTGTTCATGCTTACGGTACACTGGGAAACTTGCCAAATTTCTGTGATCATCATCAGATTTGGAACAAGAGCTACTCAGCTCGTGAAACTCCACCTATAATATGAACTGAGGCAAGAATTCTTGCCAGACAACCTTGGGTTCAAGAATAAACGGTTCCAACAGCAAACTTGCTCCTGGTTATACTCTTCGACAAGTGCATGCCACGAATGTATGGTGCGCACTCAGTCAATAGAGTGAAAATGACATCAGCATGGTGGCAGGCAGACGGACAAATAATTTGATTCCGTTTCATCTCCTTCAAATTTTAAGTGAGCACAATTCTCCGGAACAAAGCAGTGAGATCGATTGAATGGTGGGTCAATCATTTCATGTAGGTTTCATGGAGAACAAATGGCGTCAAGTGCCAGATGTACGAACGAAAGGCTGTCGTGTCCCAATACAAACAGTCACTGAATCCAGAAGCTCGAGTTAGGGAACAGCAATTTCTGTGTTCCTTTCTCTTGAGGTACGGCTTGAAACAGTCATAATAGATGGAGAAACTAGAAGCATATATCACCTGGTGACGTTAACCAAGGCTTCAGTACCGTCAACATGCTCTAGGTCTACTGATGTTCTATCTGCAACCGGTCCTATGTAGGCGGGATTGCAGTTTGCTTTGTAATGATTTGGACGAGATTTTTGTTGACGGGAAAATTCGGGTAGCGATTCTCAGCGTCAGATATAGAACAGTGAAGAAAACGGTCACAGTATTGGCAGTACGCACCTCACTTATATGACAAGCGGACAAGAGATATAGTAATGCACTATAATAACGCATTGAACCACTGGGACTATTTAGCAGAATTAAGGCTGTTTTATCATAATATTGAATTCTTTAACCGTTCTAGTAGGTTGGGTCCAATTGACAGAATTTGGTGTAGGATAAAACACCATAATAACGCGTTGAACTACTGGGACTACTTAGCAGAATTAAGGCTGTTTTATTGTAATATTGAATTCCTTAACCGTTCTAGTAGGTTGGATCCAATTGACAGAATTTGGTGTAGGATAACAATGGTTAATTCAATAAATCTAACTGATAGTGATGACGAGAACTTGTTCAGATTAACTTTATGAAACGCCAGCCGGTCGGAATAAAGAACTTCACACCTGCGGCCCCTTACTATCAGGTCTTCCGTGAGTTAGGATAGAAGTTCAACTACTCACGAGTAGCCAGAACTTCAAGAGATACATTACACGGAGCTGTTGAGTTCATGTACGTCATGCAAATAAGTGGGGTCTGCGGTCACGAATCTCCGGTACATTCCAGACGACTTCGCAAACTCCGTTAAAGACTGTTGTTAAAAAATAAACTTAGATAAACTACTTCAACCTTCGTATACTTCGCCATGTACCAGCAAATTGATTCACTGTCGTGTGCATCCACCTAAAGGAATGCAGCTCTAAGGCGAGGCTCGTTCCCTTTCTTCCAATCATGACCTATCGTGTGCGGATTACTCTGTATGATTAGGAAAAGAATGCTTGGTGCAACAAACGGAGAAATGTCTGTCTTCCATATCATTAGGGTGATAACGATGTTCACTCGAAATAGTGTCCTCACTCATCATTATTCTCAGAAACCAGACTAAATCTATTTATAGAGGGTTTAATTTTATGCTCTCCTGTAGGCTTTATTGCGTTTAACACTGAGTTCAAGCAGTGCACAACCAACCTAATACTCTAAAAGGAAAAGGCAAATGATAGTCCCTTCTAGTCCCTTGTTTCTCAAGCTCCATTGGTGGAGCGCCGGCTCCTTTCAGAAGCGAACATTGGTAACTGCAGTCTAAGGAAATCAAGTGGCGCTTCCATCGATACATGAAACTGGCGTTTAGTTATTTAAGGGACCCAAGGAGATCCCCTAGGGAACACAGTCATTTTTCACAATATTCTTTGGTTTGGTTTAAATTGGTTTATTGGTTTAAATATATTTCAGTTGGTGTTATAACCTTGAGATGAAAATTTTAGCGGTGACTGAGAGGCCATGGAAGGTAGCCTAATAGAGGTTATGAAACAAAGAAAGAGGCCAGCATAAATGATGCATCCAGCGGCTCAGTTGCCTTGCTTGGAGACAACAAGCAGGTATTTTGATAAAGATTTGCTAATACCAGTGCACTGCGCATTACTAACTGTGGACAATTCCAACAAATAATAAAATCCTACAGACGAACTTCTGTCATGCAATTCTATAAAATTTGACTAACCCTTTGAACAATACTTTCCGCTAATTGTCTTCCTCTCTAAAAAAACCACGTTTCCTGGGTTTCATTAAGCGAACCGGTGATAGTTACCAACTAAATGACCACAAACAAATGCCCATTTTTGTAATGCAATCTTGCTCGGAAATTCGGTTCTTGCCATTAAAGGCAGGTCAATTTAGCCTTTCACAGAAATCGAAATGTTACATAGTCTGTGTTGGCTTGCACAAGTATGTGTGCAATTAGCCACTTAACCATATCGTATTTTTCTAATTTTCTTACCGCTAGGTTACAACCATGAATCACAAATACTTCCGAACGCATTTGGAAGATTCTCTCTCGCAGGGTAGACCACTTCTGATCGAAGATATTGGCGAGGAGATAGATCCTTCGTTGGACGAAGTCTTGGAGAAAAACTTCCTAAAGTCGGGGACAGGATTGAAAGTTAAAGTGGGCGACAAAGAAATAGATCTTCAGAAAGGTTTCACGCTCTATTTTACCACCAAGCTACCAAATCCTGCCTATCCACCCGAGATCGCAGCCCGAACCTCAATAATCGATTTTACTGTCACATCCCAAGGACTTGAGGACCAGCTCCTGGCGCGGGTGATTCAAACAGAAAAAGAAGTGAGGATTCTTTGTCAAACTGTTGTTTGTGATAAAGACTCTCACAGGTCTATTTTAGGATGATTGTTGATCCACATTTGCCTGCTGTTTCGAGACAGATGTTATCCGCCTTTCTTAAGAAATGAAAAGCCATAAAGTCAATCGTTGTGGGCAGTTGCATATTTTACTTTCGCTTTCGTTAAGACAAATGTTATAAGGAAGAAATGAAAAGCCATAAAGTCAGTCGTTGTGAGCAGTTGCATATTTTACTTTCGCTTTCGTTTCCTCCCAGGACTTGGAGGCACAAAGAGTCACACTCATCGCAAACACAACCGCTAACCGTCGACGCATTCTGGAACTGGAAAATAGCCTTTTATATCGCTTAGCTAACACGGAAGGTTCACTAGTTGACGATCAAGGACTGGTGGATGTACTTCAAACCACAAAATCGACTGCCATCGAAGTTGCACACCAACTCACTCTGGCGCAAGACACCGAGGCTGAAATAACGGCTGCTCGCGAAGAGTTCCGACCCGTTGCGGCAAGAGGATCATTGCTATACTTTTTTATTACGGAACTCAGTGGTGTCAATCCAATGTATCATACGGGTCTGAACCGGTTTTTGCGCCTCTTTGATAAGTCCATGGCTTCGTCCGAATCATGTCCAGTCACTTCCAAGCGCGTTCAGAATATTATCAACTATATGACACGATCAGTATGGGCGTTCACCGTGCGTGGCATGTTCAAAATGGATCGGACCATGACAACGCTACTGCTCACATTGCGAATCGATTTACAGAGGAAAAATATACGCCAAGAAGAATTTATCACCTTCATCCAGGTACGGCATATGTTCTTATGACTTCTGTTCCTGACCTCGGTATCCAGATGCAAAAATGATGAGGTTCGGCAGGTCGATTTCAGCAGTATAAACTAGTATTCTTCCTGCCATGAGTTTTTATCGACGAGGAATATTGTGCACTTCTTTGGGTATCGTCATAGGTTTGCACCTCTTAAGGACGGATGAAAATATTCACCAGTTAGTTCACATACTCCACCATAGCCTCACGGTTACCGGACTAGGAATTTGGTGGGGTAAGAGTTGTGCGTGATGTCTAAAGCAGCCAGCTGCGCGTTGCATACCCTGACTTCCTATGGCTAGTTGGAACGGGTCTTCGCTGGCTATCAGCGATATTTCCGAAGGAGATTGGAACTATTTTATGATGCCCCTCCAGCCTCATATGACACACCAGCTGGTCAGTGCCTCAAATTCATAAAACAAGCGACCAGAAATAACAGCGTTGAAATACCCACTGAAATGCCCAACCGCCGAGCTGCTAATTGCCAAGTTCTGTCTGAAAAATCACTGTGATAACGATGACATAGCAACGGTACCACAGATTGGATATAATTACTAAGGCGGAGCCGAGATATATCACCAAGCCATACGGAAGACTGGCATGTATTGCTGTCTATTCTACCCCATATATGCAAGCCCCATACTAACAGGCGGTGTCTTCTCAACGCAAGAACACGGTAACCCCTTGTCCAAGCTCACGCAGACAACTGAGTCCGCATTAGCTTGAATTTAAAAAAAAGAAACTCAACCTAACGAACTGCAAAGCCGATGAAACACCTTCCGAAAAAACTGAAGCCCTTAGCTTTTGAACACATGCGATACAAGTCTCTATAGGACTGTTGAAACGACCTCAATCTCAACGAAAGTATTTTTGATACCCATTATATAACTTCCATGCCATCAAATCGCAGGTCTCCGTGAGGTGCATTCAATCATCTAACTGTAGGAAAACATGTCACACTATTCTCTTGAGGAGCATACAAGTGGCATAAATTCAACTGCAGGTTACATGTGAAGGGACATTCCTGCTNTCCCTGAGTAAAAGGATTCTTGACTATACATACATATTCGTGGTAATATGCCTTAGTGAGACAGCTTTTTCGGAATCTTGGCTCTCGTCACAGTGGAACAGGAGTAAGAATCGTAAGAAGAAAGTGATAACCCGGTATTTCTCCGGACTATACAATCATGAAGCCTTGGATTAGTTTGGAACGAAAACGGAGAATGTCGTGAACAACCAAGCCCCTAAGCACAAGCCATATGTCATCAAAAGCCGAAGCATAGTTAATTCACCATCTACACGTTAATGTCGGTGCCCTGTGCAGACGTATAGTGGTAATACGCTTGATCGACCGGTATTCGGTAGAGTTCTGGTTTGAATACGATCTACCAATTCCTTTGAGCTATTTTGTCATTACGGTGTTTTCTTACACTGTGATTTCTATTCTACTTTTTACCACGCATTAAAGGGAGGCTCAGCTCTGGACTTGAAACTAGCACCACCAAAACCTGGCAAATGGGTCACTGACATGACGTGGCTAAACCTGGTCGCACTGTCAAAACTGAATGAGTTCGCCAATATAATTCAGCAAGTTCTTGGTTCTGAACGGGCCTGGCGCCAATGGTTTGATAAGGAAGCCCCGGAAGAGGAACTTATTCCTTGTGGTTACGAGCATTCCCTCGATGTTTTCCGCCGTTTGTTACTGATTAGGTCATGGTGTCCCGATCGGACGATGCAACAGGCACGAAAATATATCACCCATAACTTGGGTGCGGCATTTTGTGAAGATGTTGCAGCTAACATGGAACAGTGAGTGCCATTCGCACTTGTCACTTTCATAGCTAGAAAAAGTTAAACTGTGTTTTTATCAAAAGTTCAAAAATTGCTCCTTCATGGTAATAAACAGTGTGATATAGTTTATGTCTGCGAAGAGTTCCATACCTCTGTTTCAGCACGTTTCTTTTACTGAAACGTCACTCGTCTAACCAAAACTCTGTACGTTCGTTTTAAGGATTGTGTTGGAGTCGGATCCACGTACTCCACTAGTCGGCCTTCTAAGTATGGGCGCAGATCCTACTCCATTTATCGAACAAGCTGCACGTCGTGCCAAAGTTGAGATCAATGCCGTCTCTATGGGCCAGGGACAAGAGATCCACGCCCGCCGTCTGGTCAAACAAGCGATGCACGAAGGTCAATGGGTTCTATTGCAAAACTGTCACTTATGCTTAAACTATGTAGAAGAACTGTTACTTCTGCTCTCTGGAGAAATTAGTGCCGGTGGTACGGGTGGTAGCGGTGGTGGTGGCAGTGCAGCGGCTGCGCAGGGAGGTGCTGGTGGTGCGTCTGGAGCGGTCGGAGCCGAAGGACCAGAAGGAGGACCTGGAGGTGTTGTGGGTGGTCCAGAGGGTGGAGTTGGAGGCGGTCAAATGCTCCCTGGAGGTTTCCATGAGCGCTTTCGTCTCTGGGTGACAACAGAAGAACACAAAAATTTCCCGATCACTTTCCTTCAAATAGCCATAAAGTTTACCAATGAACCACCAGAGGGGATAAAGGCTAACTTGTCACGCACCTACACTGAAGTCACACAGGATTTTCTGGACACCTGTGTGACCGTGCATTGGAAGATAATGCTCTATGCTCTGGCATTTCTACACTGTACCGTCCAGGAAAGACGTAAATTCGGTCCCTTGGGTTGGAGCATTCCATATGAATTCAACCAGTCAGATTTCAATGCTAGTGTACGGTTCATACAGAATCACTTGGATAGTTTGGAATTCAAAAAGGCACAAAAAGTCAGCGTAAGTCTGTGCTTTTGTTCCCACTTGCGTTAGCACAAAGCATATGGTAAGTTTTTACTCATAATTCCTCACTTATTTTCTAAAGTAAGCGAAATTAAAGACCACAGTATTTTTGTGACGAAAGAAATACACATCGTATGTTTTTATAGTGATGAAATTGGCTTCTAAAATAACTTAGTCACCTAACGATTTAGAGGCGTGCTCGAGATTCGCTCGCACTTAATAATGGGACAAAAAATCTCTGAACGTGCTCATCCTGACTTCATTTACTGTAGTTGAGTCTCGACTGGGAATAAGGAAATTCCTTATTCCAAAGTAAGATCCACATTTGATTATTAAGAGTGGACATTTGTTACTGTAAGTCCAGTCGCTTTTGATAGCACTCCATCTATAAGGCCAGGTGTTGTTTTCTAGCTAAGAACACCTTGTGCTATGAAGCTAATACAGTGTTCTACTCAAAATGCAACCTAGTAGGGGAACTGAAAAACCATTCACCTGTGGACCTAGTAGGGGAACTGAAAAACCATTCACCTGTGGATGTCCCTGGTGATCAAATACCTTCAGGGGCAAACTGTCGGTGAAATGTTGACTACCTGCTAACTTCTGTGGGAAATACCAGTAGATCTCGTTATACTACTAACAAGTAGTCTGTCCAGAAAGGAAGAATCACACAAGAAGTCACTACTCGATAAGCTTACGCGAGTCCACCACAGCACTGATCATCCACCCATCCAGAAAGGAAGAATCACACACGATAAGCTTACACGAGTCCACCACAGCACTGATCATCCACCCGTGCCGAATGGTAGTGTTCAACGACCACCCGGACGGTCGCGATTCGGGGCCCTGAAGTGATTCGCATCAAGGTTTGAACAGCCATACTTTACTTGTCAGCCTTTCAGCACAGAAGGCTGCATTTTCGGGAAAGTTGTTCTTTCCTGGACCACCTCAAAAGTTCAGACACAATATAAAGTTCATACACTGGTGTAGGACAGATCGATTTGATTTAAATGACGTTGATATTATAGTCAGTTTCCTCCACCAAAGCTTCTTCTTGCTACACACATGTCAATCTTTCTCCCATTGTTGCACAAGTTTCCTCACCGTTTTCTACAACGCGATTTGACTCTACTTTGGAACAGTTAAGTTTCCGCAGGTTATAAAGTGAAGGTATCATCACTATTTGACGGCTGTTGTTTTTGAAACTTTTTCATCCATTTTTTGCAAGCTGATGTGATAGTTCCGGGGGACCGTTGCGGCACATACTGCAGTACGTTTATTGCCACTGATATTACCACTGAAAGCCAACTGAGCACCGTCCATTAGTATGAGGACGACTGCAGTATATCATGTATTCTAGTCCTATAGTAGTATCTCTCCATTTTGTTCTAATAGCACCACAAAGTATGCTTCCACTGTTCTATACTGACTAAATTTGTTGCTAACTTAGCCTCTGTTGATATTGGTTTGTGTTCTGGTTGCATGAAATGGGACCGTCTCGTCACTCACAATACGATGTCGCAAAGGATGACAATTCATGAAATACTAGACAGTAAACATGCGATTGCTTGAACACGTGTCTTTGCCGTCTGCAACCTGGTGTGGTGTTTGCCTTCCCTTAGACGGGATGATAGGCTCCAGCTAAATCACCCACTTCGTGGTACAGAAAGCAACCCATCCAAACCGAGACTTCGCCACACACACAGTAGTACACCAGATCCAGAAGCTGGTTCCAATTGCTGGACAATTTAGCAGCCTAAACCTGTTGAGGCTCGTTTTTTCCTGCTGTCGCTTCTTTGGCTGTGACTATGGTTGTCTACAGTTGTCGTTGTGTCTCAAGCACGGCTCAGCAAGATCATAAACATAAGTTCCAACCGTAGGGCTCACATGACGGAAATACAGTATAGATACACGAGACTTAACAACACCAGTCCGTATCCACAAATGCTATGGGTAACAAACTAACAAGTGGTACAGCACCGTTTTGCACTGAAGCTTTGTCATGTGGGTTCTGTTTTCACCATCTCATGGTGTAGCGCACGAGACGGTTGAGTATTCCATGTAGTTTCCGGTGTACGGCCTTCAAGCTAAAATACATGTTTGTCTGACTTTCATCCATACCAGACGTGTACTGGTTTCAGTGAGCACTTCGCGCCGTCGTCCGTTAACTTATGAAGAAATTGAGAATTGGATGACCATAACATGGAAACTGAAAAAGGATGGCGTTGGCCTTCCAAAATGACATACACGTAACGTAAACACCCCCTTGTTACGTCTGATCTCACACTAATTGGTTGCCAACTCGTCAGCCTCCCTAACGTGATGACAATACTCAGCTGGAGAAGGCGTCCATAGATCACTCGAACTCAAGTAATCCTACCAAAATTCACTCTGTTCCCGGCAGTTTTACATTAGCAGAACTTTAGCACCCCACAAGAAACTGATCAGCTAAGGACCTACTCCATGAGACCTGATCCGAATGGCCTATTGTCGTCTAAAGTCTTCGGTTGGAATGAAAAGCAATTGCGCACTGTGGTCTTCAATGATTATGAACCGTGTAGTGTAGATCAGACCCAATTAACACATCTACCTTATTGGTACTAGATGTCGATAAAGAAGGAATGTTACCTTCGAACCTACAGCTGACTGTGAGATTACATGGAAGTATGTTTGCAATCTGCCTGATCGCGTACTCACAAATCGTCCTCGTGCAGCTTGACTCCCATGAGCTCCCAAACCTTGAAATCTAAGTTCCTTTCAGGTTAGCCACTGTTAGTCATTTTCGATTTAAGTGGCAGGTGACGTTTGTTGGCCGCTTACAAACCGAGTTTCTAAGTTGATGAATGTACCATGTGGCCCTTCCAGCTCAACCGACCACACGTATTGACATAGGGCTATGATCACATTGATCCATCCGACGTTTTAGCAAGATTTGGAGGTGAAGATGCTGAAAAACCTTGAATTTCAGATCGTACTTTTTTGGAGCTGATAAAGTGTCAAGAATGCGCGTTAGAATAACTTGTTGGCCGGTTTTCTTCAGGGTTTACACGCTGAAATTCGCCATATGCAAAGGGGAACGAAAGCTGAGAAGCAAACTCAGAGGAGATACGTGATCTCTGGCGTTATATTAGTCACTGTTTTGCAGGACTGTAGTATCTGTGGAACAAGAGTGATCGTTAGATGGGCCTGGAAGGGAGTTAAGGGATAATAGTGAAGAAAGCTAGGTAGAAGAAAGATAGGCCTGATTCAGCCCACCAGCCCTGTTGTATTCAACAAGTAAGAAACCCTGGTTGATTGCAACACGCCCTGGTTAATTTATCGACATTATATTTCTTGTTTGAACAATCATTGGCTGAATTTGGGCTGAGCTGGTGTCAGAGCACTCAAACCTAAACAGAAGGGTACTTAGGGCTCTCAGCCAAAGCCTTTGGTTCGGAAGCCTAGCCGCAAGGTGCATGGCGTAAAATTTAGCAATATTCAGCATGCAAGTGGCGGCACATGTTTTAGTCCTACGTAAGAGGGCTAGAAGACTGCACTAGTATGACCTTTGTCTTTTGACCGACCCTGTATGTGAGACTGAATGTGTCACACGGATAGTCTTCAGTGCAGCTCAAGGGTTCACGTAGACGCACAAACTTTCTTGTAATATAACAGCCGAAGTGTGTCAAAATATGGCCAGTGTCCGAAACCAGACTCTGAATATTAGCGCACATTCAAGGCTTGCTGCTTGGTAAACCTTCACTAACCATGATAGATTAAGTTTCTTAGTTATTTGGGTTTCTCTTTCTTCCATGCTAGTTGCTTACGCATCAAAAGTCCATGAGACTGTATACGACGCAGCTCACTGTCAACATAATGTGAACTGTCAGACTGGGGAGCTCAGTGTCTTATCTAAGTAACTACCCATTTGTATAGTCAGTTGTTTTCCTGCTGCTAATTATTTGTTATCTATTAATTTGTTCACCTAATTATTCACTTGCTTACCCATTTACTCACCCAGTCGTTTACTTACCTATTTACTTACTTGCTAGCCTACTTGCTTTGCTTACCTACCTACCTACCTACTTGTTCACTCGATTACTCAATTAATTGCTTGTCGCTGTAAACAAACTGAGTGGAAGATGCGGGGATGCGTTTGTTGGTAAAATTGATCGTCGTGTACTCATTACAGATTGAGGATGCGGTGATACTGATTATTTGCACAGCTATTGTACGATAAGCATCCTAGGTCGCAAAATCTTGACAGTTTGTTCAGACAGCAGAAGTACAGTGGTAGCTGGTCCCGGGTGAAGTTGATAGTTTAGCTCGCATGTGACTAGTATACTGATGATCGTGTCACTGCTAGATCCTGACTAAATCATAGTTATTTCTTCATTCAGGGTATTGACTGGAAATGCGTGCGATACATGATTGCTGAAATTCAATACGGCGGCAGAGTGACTGATGATTTTGACCTGCGCTTGCTTATCACCATCACTCGGACCTATTTCCAAGAACGCATGTTCGCACCGGAATTCGAACTGACCACCAATTACCCGATTCCACGATTTTCCTCTCCTAACGAATATCTGAATTACATTGCCAATGATCTACCACAACGAGATTCCCCAGAAGCTCTGGGACTGCATTCAAATGCAGAAATAACCTACTCGGCCCAATGTACAAGTTATATTCTGTCAACTATTGTATCTATTCAACCGAAAGAGACCGCTGCAGACTCTGGGGAAGAGAGTGGTGGTGCTGGTAAGCCAGCTGTGGTGGAAACACGTGAGGCAGTTGTGCATCGAATGTGCACCGATATGTTGTCTAAACTACCGCCAACTTACGTTCCGTATCAAGTGGCCGAGCAAATCGAAGCACTAGGCGCATTGAAACCAATGACCATTTTCCTAAGACAGGAAGTGGATCGTATTAATAAGGTGATTGCGCTGGTTGGAAGTACGCTGACGGATCTACGGCTGGCCATCGACGGTACAGTGGTTATGAATGATACTCTGAAAGACGCACTGGATTGCATCTACGACGCTCGAGTACCGGCTGTTTGGACCAGGGTGAGTTTTTGTCCCAGTCACTAGGTCGAATTTTTCGGAAAGGCTGTAAAGTGAATTTGGGTATAAGTTCAGAAAATTTTGAAAAGCAATCGATTGTTTTCGGGGAATTTTCGATCGGCTTGAAGCGCTTTCCAACTGACTGAACTTTGGGGAGTTGTTTTGTTTCTTCATCAAAACGACTGACAATTTTTCCTTACCCCCAATCAACTAGGAAAACATACTGTGGCGCAACTGGTCGCAGAGAGTAAAGCGACCACTGAAGAACAAGCGCCTGAAAATTGGGTATAATTTACGGATCCAACCGTCATTCGGTTTGTTTGTCTTTCAGTGTTTTAATGGGATGGCACTAAAAAAAGAAGCTTACACTCTTTGCTGCCTAGATAATATTACATCGCTCATGTAAAGTGCTTCTTTGGCCACTTTATACCAAGAGCAAAAGAGGTGCAAAACCATAAATAGTCCTGAAAGTCAGTCAAATACTGATTCTTTTCCAAAGTGTTATTATGTCAGCTTGGTTGTTAACTCACCCTCTTTATCGTCCCCATTTCATACCTTCAACTTTTGCAGAGTTCGTGGGACTCATCTACCCTTGGTTTCTGGTATACGGAACTGATCGAGCGAAACGCCCAATTCAGTTCTTGGCTGGAGAATGGACGACCCGTTTGCTTTTGGATGACTGGGTTCTTCAATCCTCAAGGGTTCTTGACCGCCATGCGGCAAGAAGTGAGCAGAATGCACGAAGGTTGGTCATTGGACAGTGTGGTTCTGGCCAGTAAGATGACTCGAGCTAACGCGGAAGATCTGAAGGACCCGCCGTCCGAAGGTGGTGTTTATGTGTACGGTTTGTTCCTCGAAGGAGCAGCATGGGATCGACGAACATCCCGATTGGTCGAACCAAAGCCGAAAATTCTATATGACATCATGTCAGTGATAAATATTTATGCGGTTCAAGAGGCTCAGACCACAAAAAGACAAGGCGCTGGTGAATCCAAAGGAGACGCTCAGAGACAATACTATTCATGTCCAATCTACCGAAAAAAAGCCGAAATATATGACATCATGTCAGTGATAAATATCTATGCGGTTCAAGAGGCTCAGACCACAAAAAGACAAGGCGGTGGTGAAACAAACAAAGACGCTCAGAGACAATACTATTCATGTCCAATCTACCGAAAACCACGGCGAAACGA